TCCAAATGACCTACTAAGTCACTAAATATTTCTGATCTGCCTGAGCTCATGTTCTAATGGAGACAACATATAAATAACTATATATAAGATAGATATAGATAGATAATATTTAGAGAGAGAATGAAGAGCATAGAATGCTGGTCCTAAAGACAGGAAGACCCGAGTTCAAATCCAGCCTCAGACACTACTAGCTATGTGACCTTGACAAGTCAACCCATTTGCCCAAAGGAGCCCATCCTAGATCACTGCCTTGTTTTGACAGAGAGGTTTGCATAGCTCAATGAAACTGAGTTATTCCATGCAGTTGCCTGGGTCATAATGGAGATCTCTGACGGAAAAAAAAATCCACTGGAGAAGGAAATGGCAAACTACTCCAGTATTTTCCATGGGGAATAGAAAGGTAATCTCAAGAGGCACTGATGGGGGAGGGGTGAAAAGTTTAGGAAAGGTCACCTGCAGAAGATGGGATTTGAAGTTGAAGCTTGAAGGAAACCAGGGAAACTTTGGGGTGAGGAGGGTGAACATTTCAGGTATGGATAAGTAATAGGGAAATTGGGAAGAGGAGGTAGGGGAGATGAGTTCTGTGTTGTATATGTTAAGTTTGAAGTGTCTGGAATATCTAGTTCAGAAGGTCCAATAGGCAATTAGTGATTGAAGACTAGAACTTAGGAAGAAGGTATTTAGTTCTGGGAATCATCTGCAGAGAGATAATAGTTGGAACCATGGGAGCTGATGAGGTCACCAAGCCAGATGGCAGGGAGAAGGGAATTCTAGACAGACCTTTAGGGAATATCCACGTCCATCTTATATTTTAATGTATATTAAGTGTATAGATCATTGTCAGTGTTTGTTAAAGAGGCTAGTATAGAAGGGAGCCAGAATTCAATGTTGCTGAAAAGGAATGCAAGGCATTATTGATCAGGTACCAAAGCTGGGATATAGTACACATGGAAAATAAGCAGATGGGTCAACATGGACCTCACCAACTTCTCTGGATCAGGAGAACCCTATAGACAAAGTATATACAATATTATGTAGATTCCAGCAACAAAGTGGATAAAGAACTAATAGACTAATTGTAACCCAAGTTTTGATTAATAGATCAGTTTTAACCTAGGTCTCTGTCTCCAGTAGAATGTTTCAGGATTCTGCCCTTGAACAGTCTTGTTCAATGTTTCTGCTGGTGACCTGGATGGAGGAAAATGCTATGTTTATCAAGTTTAAGAATGACAGGAAACTGGAAGGGGTAATTAACACATTAGGTAGCAGAACTGGCATCCAAAGAGATCTTAACAATCTAGAACGATTGTTAGCTAACGCTAACATGGATACATGTAAAGACATTTCTTGGAGTGCTGAAAGTTGGAGTCCCTTTCCCTTGAGGTAGATCCCGAAGATCTTAAGGACATACATAAAAACCAATTTTGATCAACTGGGTTTTATCTAAAGTGAGCTAGCTTTAAAATACCAATTAATAATACAGGCACTCTAACACTAAAGTTGGTAGAGCTGTGAATTAGCACAATTCCTGAAAGCAATTTGGAATTATGCAAATAAAATGACTAAAATGTTCATATTCTTTGACCAAGAGATTCAGCTGTTAGGCATATACCCCAAGGAGGTCATTCATTAAAAAAAAAAAAGGTTCCATATGTAACAAAACTATAGTGGCACTTTTTGTGGGTAACAAAAAGAGGAAACAAAGCAAGTAACCGTCAACTGAGGAAAGACTAAACTAACTGTAGTACATGAGTATAATGAAATACTACTGTGCTGTAAGAAAAGACTATGATGAATGGGGAGGAGCATGAAAAACCATAAATGAACTTTATGCAAAGTCAAGTAAACAGAGGCAAGAAGACAATAGATGACTACAACAATGTAAATGGAAAGAACAATCAGAACAATTGAAAATGAATGTTGCCAAGTTATAAAAAGCAAGCGTGGCCCCAAAGAAGAGAAAGAAGAAAACACTCCTCCACCATTACCACCTAGTTTTCAAAAGCAGAGAGATGAAAAATGCCATACATTGTCAGATTTTTAAAAAATATATTGATTGGTGTTTTCAGCTAGTGAATAAACATGTATTAAGTACCTACTACGTGCCAGGCACTGTTCGAAGCCCTGAGGACACAAAGAAAAGTAAAGGATAGTCCCTGTTCTGGAAGAGTTCACAATTTAATTGGGGGGGGGCAGAAGGAATAGAAGAGAGAGACAACTATAAAGAAGCTATATACAGAATAAATTGGAAATAAGAGGGAAGGCACTCGAATTGAGAGGTATCAGGAAAGGTGGAAGCATGTAGAAGATGAGATTTTCTTTGGGACTTGAAAGAATACAGGAGATGAAATTATTCCAGGTGTGTGGGGCAGCCTGAGAAAATACCTAAAGTTGGGAGATGGAGTTTTGTTCACGGAACAGCAACGAGCCAGTGCCTTTGGATTGCAGAGTACGTAAAGGGTATAAGGTGAAAGAAAACTAGAAAGGTAAACAGGACAGGTTATAAAGGGCTTCAAAATCTGACGGCTAAGTGGAAGAGTTCTGGACTGCTCAGGTTTGTGGCAGAAAGATCAACAAGAAGGCTACTGTAATAGTCCAGGCATGAGATGCTAAAGGCCTGCAACAGAATGGTGGTGCTGCGGGAGGAGAGGCAATGGTGTGGGGAGGGTGCAGAAAAGGAAAGATCTTAGGAAGGTAAAATGTACAGGGCTTGGGAACAGACTGGATATAAGAGGTGAAAGAGTAAGGAGATGAGGATAACACCTCGATTATGAGCCTAGGTGACTGGCTTTTGACTTGTTGAGTATAAAATGTACAACTGACAAGATCAACAGAAGTTAGGGCTCGATAACTACATTTGAGAAACATCAGCATAGAGATGATCATTGAATCCAGGGGAGCTGATATGATCACCAAGTGAAATAGTATAGAGGATGAAGAGAAGAGAGTTCAGGCCAGAGCCCTGTGGGACACCCACCTTTAACCCGAGTGACTTGGATGAAGATCCAGCAAAGAAGATGGAGAGGTCAGGTAGGAGGAGAAGCAAGAGGGAGTAGAGTCAGGAAAACCTAGAGAGAAGAGACTATCAAGGAGAAGAGAGTGACTGACAATGTCACAGGCTCCAGAGAGGTCAAGAAAGACAAGGACTAAGAAAAGTCCATCAGATTTGGTAATTAAGAGATCATTAGTAACATTGGAGAAAGCAATTTCAGTTGAATGATGAAGTCAAAAGCCAAATTATAGAGAGTAAAGAAAAGTGTGAGAAGAAAGGAAGTGGAGACATCTATTGTAAAACAGTCTTCTCAGGGAGTTTGGCCATCAAAAAGAGGAGAGATGTAGGATGACAGCTAATAGGGATAAGTGGGTCAAGTGAAGGTTTTCTGAGCATGTGGGAGACATTGGCATGTTTGCAGGCAACAGGAATGCAGCCAGTAGACAGGAAATCACTCATGTAAAGGGGTTTACTTTGGCAAGAAGGGCTACCTCCTTAAGTGAGGTAGGGATAAAGGAAATAGTGGTAGTGATGTAGTTTGAGAGGTGTAGGGACCCCAAAATACCAAGGTACAGGGTGGAGTTGGCTGGAATGAATTCATGGACTCAAGCAGTCTTCCAGTCAGGTGGCAAAAAGTTTATTATAACACTAATATGGCAGGCAGAGCTCCTTAAGGGATTCTGCCATGGTGGGCAGAGCTCATTACAGAACTCTGCCACCTAACAGGAATGATGCTAAAGCTCATATTGGAAAAGTAGTGGATCATGTGCCAAGTATGCTAATTAGGTGATGACATACAACCTTGGTCACAGGCATCATTCACTACTGGAAAGTGGAGGGGGAGTTCCTAAGGGGTGTAGGGGTGTATTTTTGGTCTGTTATGTCTGTAACAAGTTAGCTTCTGGAGTTGATATCTATAACTTGACCTCTGGATCACATACGATAACTGTGGGAATCAGTATGTGAAGATTTTTTTTTATATATACAAGACAGTACAAGGCAAATTCTACAGAGGTCAGCTTGTTCTTGTAACAAGGAGAGATAGTGAGATAGTTTACCTCACTGGGTCTACTCATGAGTTATTGCCAGACATAGGATCTTTGAGCTGGGGAGAAAATTGTCAGGGATACTGTGTTGAGGCTAGGGAGAAATATGGTCTTGGAATTGGAGTCGGAATATAGGCACCCAAGCGTCCCATCAGCAAAAGGCACCTGAGTAATGTGAGATGAGGAGGGGAGAAGGGGCTCTTTGGGAATGGCTTCAATTTTTTCAGTAAAATAAGAAGCAAGATTCTGAGGGAGGGGCCAGAGGAGGTTTGAGAAAGGTCTGGAAGAGCCACCAATGCTGCCGCCGCTGCTGAAATATAGTGCGTTAATTAGGAAAGGATTGCCTTGGAGACGTGAGGATCTAGCTGAGTAGTAGATCCAGTAAGCACGGTTTTCTAATTTTCTCTAACTTCACTCAGCTGCACGTGAATAGGAGCAAAGACAGTGGACAGCTGCAGCACAAATATCATTTCAAATAATACTGGAGCCTAAAGTCATTGGCCTAAAGTTACACCGCTACTAAGTGTCACTTATCTGCCTCTAAGCCTAGCATCCTTGCTGGGTTAGTTCAGAAGCCCAAACAGGGTCCCCGGCACATCTCCACCGCAGGGAATTTGTCACTCCGAAGACTATGCGCTTTACTAAGACGTTCTACGAACCACTAAGGAAAGAATGGACGCTGATCCAGAAGCATCTCCCAGGTTCCTCCTCTTCATAGGACTACGGGCGGCGGGACACTTTCGAAAAGTCCCGGTGAAACTGTACAGAGCCATGGCATTCTGGAACGTGTAGTTCGGTGGGTTGTTGGCACCCCCTCATTAACTGGAAGCGCCATGTCTGAGCCTGGCAGGCTCCGAGACTGGGGGAAGCTCTGCGGGGCTCGCGGGCGGCGGAGGCTTCGGAATGACCTTTGACCCTAGCCTTTGTCGCGGCTTCGGGGTCCTCTCTTCGGACTGGGACTCTGCGCGCGCGCAGTGATGGCGTCACTGACGGTCTCCGCCTCCGCCACGTCGGTCTCCTTGACGACGGGCGCCAAACCTCTGGGAGCCTCCGGGAGCCTCCGGGACGCAGCGGCGGCTGGGATGCTAAGCGGAAGGGTTCGCGGGCCCTTGCAGATGGTACAACGCCGCAGCCAGGAGCTCCGACAACAGGTAGCGAGCCCCCCCGGCCCCCGGGCTGCCGCCTCGTCCGACCCGGTGCCTCGGGCGTCAGGGGAGCCTGAAGGGCCCGGAGCTTCAGGCCGCGGAGGGGAGACGGACCTGGGGCCCCGGGAACACCCCTTCACCCTCGCCTACCCAGCCTCTTCATTCCTCACTCGCTCGCCCTGTGAGGCTTCTTGCCTCTAGAGTTTCTGGTCTCCTTCCTTTGAGCTCCCCAAACACCGTCGTGATGCAGGAGCCAAGGGCGAGCTGGAGCCACAAGAGCTGGGTTCGAACCCCAGTTGCGCTTCTTCAGTGCTGCCTGGCCAGCCCCTTCCCTCTCCTGAGCCTTAGTTTCCCTCCTGTGCAAAATGAAGAGGTTGGCTATAGATGAACAGATCCTTGAGAGCACTGAGGGGGTCGGAGTGAGGTTCAAAGTCCTTGCCTTCTCTCTGACAGTAGAAGGGGGATATAACATGAAACTGCATGCGATGAGTAGATTAAAAAGGTATGAATTAAAACTCCCGGGGCTCCCTATTGCCTCTAGGTCGAAATAGAAACTTTCTCAGTTTAGCTTTTAAAGCCCCACACAACCTGCTCCCAAGCTATCTTTCCAGCCTCCTCGGGCATCTTTACTCCTGCATTCTACATTCCCTCAAATTGGCATTCTTTCTGTTCCTCATACATAATGCTCCCTCTCCTATCTCCCTGTAGTTTGCACTAGTTTGAGACGCACTCCTACCATACCTCTGCCCCATAGAGTCTCTTTATTCATATAAGATGTAGAGCAGACACTAACTTCTGCAAGGGGCCTTTCCTGATTCCTTCCTTCTGCTGGGGCACTAGGGCCCTCCCTCCCAAACTACCCTGTAAATAGATAAAGCATATATTAAGGGTTTACTATGTGCCAGGCACTGTGCTAAGGCTGGGAATACAAATACAGTACAAAAATACTGTCCATGGCCTCAAAGAGCTTACATTATAATGGGAGAAGATATAAAAAGGGAGCTAGAAGGAGGAGGAGGATTGGCAAGGCAGAGAAGTAATCTGGAGGTGCAGGGGCAGACTGGAATTGGAAGTGAGCATGACTCAATCCTCAAATAGAAATCATATTTAACTACTTTGTATATCTTTCTTTTTATTAATTTTATATTTATAAATATATTTTAATGTCAATATATACATATAAATCCGGACTACTGGAGATGGACCTGGATGCAGTGGGAGACCTTGGCCTTTTTAAGCTAAGGTCTTTGGCAGGTCTCAGTTTGACTGAGGCAACAACCATTCAGTGATTAAGGCTAGGTAAGAAATGAGAAAGAAGAAAATATATTTAAAATATGTATATATTTTTAGGTGTGCTTGCCTCCCCCGTTAGAATATAAGCTCATTGCAAATGGGGATTGTTTTGTTCATTGGGCTTCTATCAGTCCCTACCACAGCCTTAGCATATAATAGGTAATCAATAAATACTTGTTGTTTGATTGATTGAAAAGGAGGATGGTATAATGGAAAGGTTTCCTGGAAGAGCTGGTATTTCAGTTGGATATGGAAAGGATTGGTAGGAATTCAACAAACCAAAAGGGTAGGTGTGGACAAAGTCTGAGGCAAAGGCAACACTGTATCTAGTGAGCAGGCAGAGAGTAGCAAGTTGGGCTGACATAAAGAGGATGGGGCAGCTAGGTGGCACAGTGGATAGAGCAGTGGCTCTGAAATCAGGAGAACTTAACATTTACTAGCTGTGTGACCCCGGGCAATTGCCTAAAAATTAAAAAAATATATAGAGAGAGGATGAATGAACCAGAGTTTAGAGGGCTTTGAATACCACCCACGTAAAATGGGTAGTACATAGATAATAGGGAGCTGGGAAGGTTTTTTTAGAGGACTGATGGGATCAAATTTGTGGATAAAAGTGGTCTGGTAGTTATAGGAAAGGTGGGTTCAATTCAACAAGCATTTCTTAGCCTCAGTCAAGAAGAGCTAGGTTCTTGTTTTACCTATGACACATAGTAGCTATTTAACTTGGAGCAAGTTGTTTACCTTTCTAGGCAACTCTCTGATGCCATACATTGTAGATAAGATGCAGACCTGTATTGGTAGAGGGATTTTCTTTATCTGTGAAAAGTTTTTTGTGACACTGCTTTCTACATAATGTCCTCCTACTTGTCAGACACTCTTTGCTGGATCTTCATCCAGATCAGGTCTACTAATTTGTAGTCAATCTGGAGGGGAAAGACCCTTGAGGCCATTGTCTGCCTCATTTCTTACCTAGTCTTAATCACTGAATGGGTGTTGCCTCAGTCAAACTGAGACCTGTTAAGACCTTAGCTTAAAAAGGCCAAAGTCTCCCACTGTATCCAGGTCCATCTTCTGTAGTCCTGATATATATCTCACCAGATGACCCCAGAGGAGAAAGTGAGGCTGGTGACTTTGCACAGCCCTCCCTCACTTAAATCCAATTTACCTGCATGTCATGGCATCACCTCTCTGATGTCATGGCGTCACCTCTCTGATGTCATGGCGTCACCTCCCTGATGTCATGGTCCTCTTCAATAAGGAAGGACAAACAACAACAACTAATTGTAGTCATCCCCCAAGGCTCTGTCTTGGGCCCTCTTTTCTTCTCTTCTCCACCTATGCTATTTTACTTAATGATCTAATCGGCTTTCATAAATTCAAATCATCCAATTAGCATTTCCTAACCTCCAGTCTTCCCTCTGCCTACTGGACAGCTCAAGCTGCATGTTCCGCGCAGCTTAAACTCACGTCCAAAACTGAACTCATTGTCTTTGCCCTAATCTCTCCCACCCTTTCCTAACTTCCCTATTACAGTCCAGAGAAACAACATCCTCCTGGAGATAGAATATTGTGTGTAAGAAACTGTTGGAATAATCCACCAAGTTGGTAATGAAGATGTTCCACTGAAGGTGGAACATTCTAATGAAGGTGGTAAGGTAGAGAGGAGGGAGACCTGTGTCTCTGAGATTTCCACACATCCCTGAGGTAGACAGGGTTGCAGTCAAAGAACCATGCATCTTTCGAACTGGAAGGTACCAGAGAAGTCTGTTTTGGAGAACTTTGGTGCAGCTGGATGAACGCTGGTTTTGGAGCCAGGGGATGGGTTTGAATACTGGCTTTGTCAATTACTTCCTGTGTGACCTTGGACAAATCACTACCTCTCAGCCTCAGTTTCATTATCTGTAAAATGAAAGAGATCTCTTAATGACCTCTAACATCTCCAGCTCTGAATTTATAATCCTCTGTGGCTCATTTTATGCCTTTCTGAGAAGGTTCAAAGAGTGAAAAAGACTGGCCCAATGTCTTTTATCTAGTTTGTAGTAGAACTAGGAATGGTCTACAGAGCCCCTCTCCTCTGCTCTTGCTACTACATTGAACTGATCCAAAGGGGTCAACTGTACTACCCATCAGCACTCTGAAATGTTTCTTCAGCTAAACTCCCATTGCAGTGGAAGGATTGTGCAGTTTTTCATCTGGTCAGTTACTAGATTCAATGGTTACTGAGTCATCCTTTTGTGATTGTTCACAAGTGAGAATTTTATTAAGGTGTCTGTATTATATCCAGTTTTGGTCTTTCTCTTCTAAAAGTAGGAAAAACTCTTGGAGGCAGTGTTTCGCAGTGAATCAGAAGTAGAGTGCAATAGTAAAAATGAAGCCCTTCAGGAACAGAAATTGGACGACTGTGTAGAACTAGTTAGGTCAGCACATCAGGGTTCAGTCAATTCAATAAGAATTTTTTTAAGCACCCACTATGCACAGGGAACCGTGCTAGGCACCAGGAATGAAAGGCAAAATAAAGGAGCACTCATTCTGCTGGGAGATACAGCCTTTATACAGATAAAAAAAAGCAAAGTAATTTGAGGGAGGAAAGAATATTGTGAAGTGTCTCATTCTAAACCAAAGAGACATAGGAGGAGTCTGGAGGATTATGAAGACATATCAATCAGTGAGCAAACATTATGTGCCAGGCATGACTAAGTACTAGGGCTGCAAAGACAAAGGGAGGGGAAAAGAATAAGTATTTATACAGAGCCTACTGTGTGGCAGGCACTGTGCTGAGCATTTTTTTTCCCAAAAATAATTAGATTCCTTTGGAACCCTATGTATTTTGTTTTATGCATTTAAAAATCATATTCTGAGAAGATTGCATAGGTTTCCATACACCGTCAAAGAGGGAGACAGCACACAAAAAGGGTAAAAACTATCTTAGAATTTAACATTTATGGTGGTACCAAGACACAGCTGCTGCCTCCAGTATCTGTTCCCTTTTATTATTTTTAAATAATATTTTATTTTTCCCCAGTTACATGTAAAACACAATTTTTAATATTTGTTGTCCTTTTTTTAAGTTTTGAATTCCAAATTCTATCCCTCTTCCTTCCCTTTCCCCCTCCCTGAGACAGTAGGCAATCTGATATAGGTTATACATGTGCAATCATGTCAAACATTTCCATATTAGTAATTTTCTGCAAGAAAACTCAAAAATGGAAGGAAGGAAAGATGGGAGGGAGTGGGGGGGAGAAAGAGACAGAGAGAGAGACACAGAGAAAGGAAAGAAAGAAAGAAGTATGTTTTGGTCTGTATTCAGGTGACATCAGTTTTTTCTCTGGAGATAGATATCATTTTTCTTCATGAGCCTTTTAGGATTGTGTTGGATCATTGTGTTGCTTAGAATAGCTAAATCATTCACAGTTGTTCATTGTGCAATATTGCTGTTACTATGTACAGTCTTTTCCTGGTTCTGCTCACTTCATTTTGTATCAGTTCATGTAAGTCTTCCCAGATTTTTTCTGAAATCATCTTGCTTGTCATTTCTTATATGTGCTAAGCATTTTTACAAATATTATCTCATTTGGTCCTTACAACAACCCTTTGAAGTAGGTGCTGCTATTATCCCCATTATATAGTTGAGGAAACTGAGGCAAAAAGAAATTAAGTGATCTGCCCAGGGTCACACAGCTCTCTGAGCTCAAATTTGAACTCATGTCTTCTTCACTCCAGGCCCAGCATTCTTTCCCCTATGCTATCAGCTGCAACAAATAAAAGTGTCCCTGATCTCAAGGAGTTTACATTACAGTAGGGAAGACAACATTGATAGACAAATAGATAGACAAACACAAGCATACATGATATACACGTATATACGTACACACACAGAGCATTTGTTAAGTGCTTACTGCATGCCAGGCGTTGTACATAAGTAAGAATGTACAAAGTAAGCATGACGTAAATTTGGTGGGGAGGGCACTGCTGCACTTGAGGACCTAGAGGTACACATGTGACCTTGAGGCCACAGGTTCCAACCCACCCCTAGCTAGGTAAATAAAAAAGGCTTTGCATAGAAGGTGGTACTTGTACAGAGCCTTGAAGGAGACGAGGTATTCTCAGAGGCAGAGGTAAAGTGGAAGTTCACTCGAAGCATGGGCACAGCCAGGGTAAAGGTGAGGAGGCTAGAGATGGCATATCTATGGTCCATAGAGTTTGGAAAAGTGGATAAGGTATATTATTGGTCAAGTTTGGGAAGAATTTTAAAAAGTGAACCAGAGGAGCTTATATTTGATCCTAATGGCAATAGGGAGCCGTTGACCTTTAATAGAACAGGGGAGTGATGTGGTCAGACCTGCACTTTAGGCAAGTCACCTTGGCAATTGTATGAAGAAAGGGCTACAGGCAAAGAGACCAATCCAGAGGTTATTGCCGTAGTCCAGGTGAGAGGAGGTTGCTGTGAGAAGGGGTAGATGTGAGAGAGGGTGTAACAGTAGAAATGACAGGATTTGGCAAGCGACTAGATATGTGAAGTGAGGGAGAGGGAGGCGTCAAGGACACCTAATGAACCTAGGTGACTGCCAGTGTGCCCTCCACCAAGACAGAACCCCACCAGTGCAACCAAGATTAGGAGGGAAGCAGAAAATTGGGAAAGAATTTTTATAACCAATGTCTCTGATAAAGGCCTCATACCTAAAATATGTAGAGAACTGAATCAAATTTGTAAGAATACAAGTTATTCCCCAATTGATAAATGGTCAAAGGATATGAACAGACAGTTCTCAGAGGAAGAAATTAAAGCTGTTTGTAGTCATGTGAAAAAATGTTCTAAATCACTATTGATTAGAGAAATGCAAATCAAAGCAACTCTTAGGTACCACATCACACCTGTCAGATTGGCTAACATGACAAAACAGGAAAATTATAAACGCTGGAGAAGATGTGGGAAAATTGGAACACCAATGCATTGTTGGTAGAGTTGTGAACTGATCCAACCATTCTGGAGAGCAATTTGGACCTATGCCCAAAGGGCTGTAAAATGTGTATACTCTTTGACCCAGTAATACCACTTCTAGGTCTGCATCTCAAAGAGATCATAAAAATGGGAAAAAGACCCACATGTACAAAAATATTTGTAGCAGCTCTTTTTGTGGTAGCCAATAATTGGAAATTGAGGGGATACCCATCAATTGGAGAATGGCTGAACAAGTTGTGGTATATGAATGTAATGGAATACTATTGTGCTGTAAGAAATGATGAACAGGCGGATTTCAGAAAAATCTGGAAGACTTGTGTGGACTGATGCTGAGTGAAGTGAGCAGAACCAGGAGAATGTTGTATGCAATAACAGCCACGTTGTGCATGACTAACTTTGATAGACTTAGCTGTCCTCAGCAATGCAATGATCTAGGACAACTGCAAAAGACCCATGATGGAAAATGCTATCCACGTCCAGAGAAAGAACTATGGAAGCATACTCTTTGCTCTTCTTTTCTTTTTTTTTTTTGTTTTGTTTCTTCTTTCTCATGCTTCCTCCCATTCATTCTTTGCAACATGGCTAATGTGAAAATATGTTTAATAAGAATGTATATGTAGAGCCCATATCAGATTACATGCTGTCTTGGGGAGGGAGGAGGGGAGAGAGGGAGAGAAAATTTAAAACTCAAAATAAATTGATTAATTTTTTAAAAACAACAAAGTAAATACAATGAAAGGTGTAGAAAGTTAGAAATAAAAGTAAATTGTGAAATAAAAAAAATGAAATGGGGGGAAAAAAATAGAGACCCAGAAGTGGAGTTTGGGTGGGAAAGATAATAAACTCGGCTTTGGACTTGTTGAGTCGGAGTTGGAGATACCTATAGTATACCAGTTTGGAATATGCAAAATATAAGCCTGGAGCTCAGGAGAAAACTAGGCCTGGATGTTTAGATCCATAAATCATCTACTTATCCATGGGAACTTCAGGGGTGTGCTGGTAAATGTTTAACAACTGGCTCTCCAGAAGAAAAAAGTTTTTAAGATTATTATGCATTATCAATTGTTTCTCCATCTTTTAAGTCTAGACAGTTGACAAAACAAGACATAAAACCCTGATTTGTAGTGAGTGGGACTGAGACCACTTACTCAAATAAAAACTCAGAGGTTTCTCCAGGTAGAAAACAGAAGGTTTTATTCTAGCAAGTCTTGCACAAGAGTTGGGCATCACTTACCCAGCGCGGACTGGAGTAGTGAGGCCCAGCACAAACAGCAGCAAGCAGTTATGTAGTCTTAGGCAAACCAGTCCAGAAAGTCCCCTTCCCCACTTGTTTGTCTCAATCTCTTTATCCTCATTGGCTGAGGCAAGAGACCTCACAGTCTATGTTTAGAACCCAAGAGATACATTTTACTCTAAACCCGCTTGGGAGCTAGAAGACTGCCCTATTTGGTAAAGTTAAGGTACAAAACAAAAGAGGGGGTGGTTACAGAACAAAGGGGGGGCAGCTGGGGCACAGCCCCCATTCCCCCAAAACAAAAGTGAAACTTGGGCCCAGCTCACGCTGAAGCCTTACTACATTTTTGGAGCGTAGCGTACATCTCACATGAGAAACTTTCGCTTGTCCCACACAGTAGCAATTGCTGGTTTATTTCTGAGGTGTAAATGCTCACACTGAAAATTTAGCAGTGAACCCTGAGCCAGTTTGAGCTGGCTCCACCATACCCCTGAAGTGATGAAGGTGCTAAGTGAGAAAATTTAGAGAAACAAGAAGGCCTGGAACACAGCCTTAGCGTATATGCACATGTACAGTTAGGAGGTATGATTTGCTTAATGAAATAGTGAAAGATAATTATAAAATAAACCTGTAAAGAAAGGTTAGAAAAATTTAGATTATTCAGCATGAACATGAGAAGCTATAAAGTTTGAGTATATAAAGAGCTTTTAGACAATTCAAGCTAATTATTTCCCACAGAAAACCAGCTTAGAGGAAATGAGCCATAGTAAAAGGAAATGAGCCAAATTCCAGACCATTTCCGTTAGTGCAAACAGCCCAAGAGCTTACTACATTTTGTTCAAAATTATTGACCACCCCAGAGCTATCGGAATTAGGTAGCTGACTTGTTGACTGTGAACATGTAGGTGTTAATTAACATTCTTTAGCGAACAGCTGCTAAGTTAGCTACGTTTGATTTCTTTCCTTTTCCCTCCAATCTATCTTCTCTGGATAATCAACAAATGCAGTGTTGTTGTTGTTGTTCAGTTGTTTCAGTCCAACTCTTCTTGACCCCGTTTGGGGTTTTCTTGGCAAAGATTCTGGATTGGTTTGCCACTTCCTGCTCCAGCTCATTTTACAGACCAGGAAACTGAGGCTAACGGGGATAAGTGACTTGGCCAAGGTCACACAGCTAGGAAATTTCTGAGGTCATATTTGAACTCAGGAAGATGAGTTCAGGGCTGGCACTCTATCTACTGCACCACCAATCAATGCAGTGGAGGCACAGATATAAAAAGTGTATGTGCATGTGAGCCTACTTACTCTTGTGGGAATATTGGCAAAGTTGTATGACTGTGTATGATAAGAATTTCAAGGCGTATGAATGAAAACTTTTTTTAAGGTCATGTAACACTAAAGTTCTGAACTAAAGTTCAGAAAGCTAAACTTAAAATTTCATTGTGTACTTTCCAATTTTAGGTTGGACGTTTGCTTTCTGAGAGTCAACTGGAAGGAGCCCTAGATGCCAGTAAAAGGCAGGATATTTATCAAAGGTAACATACTAATAAATGGCACAAACTTTGTGGCAGCATTGCTAGCATTGTTTTATAGATTGCTTAAGAAATGTATTTCTTTTGTCATTTGCAGCATTTCAAAAGAGACAAGATAATTAGAAATTAGTGAAAAATGATACACTAAAATTTTTCAAAATTAATAAGCATATTCCCCACAGATGCCTTCTGTTCTATCTAGCCTGTCAGCAAATCTAAATGTAGGGAAGGTGATGCCTACAGGTAATAGAAAATAAAGGCTCGGGCACTTAAGAAAATATTAATGTTTTCATAATTTTAGAGATTTGAAGGAAACAGGGAAAAAGCCATTTGGTGTTACTGAATATTGTTTTAGTTAAAATAAGATTTCATACACCAGCTTTTATCTGATATTTCTGTAAGTATGTTCTGAATTCTCAAACCTGAAAGTTAGAAGGTACCTCAGATGTCATCCAGCTCAGCTCCCAACCTGAAATATAAATCGTTAGTTAAGATTTAAGTTACTGTGCTGGACGTTATCCTTGTTGAATATGCTGGGATGTTATCCTTCATACAAGTAAAATGTCTCTGAGGTGGGGAGCGATCCTACATCACTAGGGTTGAAATTAATAGAGTGGTCACCCTTTTCTATCCTTAAATTCCCACTCTCCTAACTTACCTGTTTTCCTCAGTTTTCTTTCCTTTTCCTGCTCCTTTATTTGCCCATTTTAGGAAAGAAGGAACCAAACCTTTTTGGACTAAAAAGGGGTGCATTTTGCATAGTAATTGTTTGAGTAAGGCTACTGTAATACACATTGTCTTTATTCTTTGTATTTTTTCAATTTAGTGAATTATCTGTCAAGTGATTTAACTTTATATTACATATATCAAAATCCAAATTTTTACCAAAATGATAGTAGTTGTTAAACTTTCTAAGAGATGCAGACTGGCATAGTGAAAAGAGAATTAGGCTTGAAATTAGAAAGACTGGGGTTTGCATCTTAGTTCTGCTATCCTAATTTTGCAACCATGTACAAGCAACTTAAGCTGTCAGTACAACAAGCAAATATGTAAGGCTTGATTGGAAGTTAAAGAAAACAAAGAGCTGACGATTGCATATGTAGAGAGTTTTTTCTGTGCCAGTGAAATTATAGTCCCATATAATTTCCTCCCTCACCCCCAGAAAAAAAAAATCTACCTTTCTATAAATGTTTCAGAGCTTGAAAAACTTTTCTTGATGAGTTCTTGACAATATAAAGTCCATTTTTTGTTTTTGTTTTCATTTTAGATGTATCCAGCTGAAAAGAGAAATAGATGAAAACCGAACAGCTCTTAAAAATTTAAACAAGGTAAGTATTTCAATCAGTGACATGGTAAAGGATATTTTATTACTCTATTGAGCAAGCTGAGTGAACTGAAACTTTGGAAATATCAAAGTCTTTAATTCTTGAGTTGACATCAATGGAAAAAGCCTCTGTGAAGTAATTGTACTGTCCTGATTTTCCCTTCATAACAAATGCTTCTAGTTCTTGGAACCTGGGCTGTGATCAACTTAAGGGTAGATTCAATACCTGGCAATCCCAGGCCTGCTGTCATTACTTATACAAAATGTGTGTGTGTGTGTGTGTGTGTGTGTGTGTGTGTGTGTGTGTGTGTGTGTGTATGCATGTATATGTATGTGTATATATATATATATGTATATGTATGTGTATGTGTGTATATATGTGTGTGTATATATGTATGTGTGTGTATATATATGTGTGTATATGTATGCATGTATAAAAATATGTATATGTATATATACACATGTATATAGTTTTAATTTTGTGTTTTTCATTACTAACTGAAGAATATGGGAAGCATCAGAAATGTTATAAGAAGAATCTAATGATTTATTTGCTCATCGTAGAGACCACCTTTCTTTGATGTCATCTTTTTCTGGTGATTTCTTGGCTTTTTCTTTTTTCCATTCTTTTATTCTTTCTTTCCTTCCTTCCTTTTTTTCCTGGGGGGGGGTACGCTGTGTGTTAAAATGAATGTGCACTATATTTCAAGAACTTATTAAGGAAAATTCCCTGAAGTTTTAGAACAAGAGTTAAAATAGAAATTTGAAAAGATCTATAGAAAGACATCCCAAGATGAAAACTCACAGGAATATCATAGCTAAGTTCTGAAGCTCACAGGTCAAGGAGAAAATACTACAAGCAACTAGGGAAAAAAAGTAACCCAATTTAAATAATGTGAAACTACAGTCAGAATAATATAAGATTTAGCAGCTTCTACTTAAAAGACCAAAGGGCATAGGACATTATATTCCAGATAGCGAAGCTGGGTTTGTAACCATATATACCTTTCTCAGGAAAGCTGAGTATAATCCTGTATGAAAAAAATGGACCTTTTGAATGAAAGGACTGTTAGGTATTTGTAACAAAAAGATCAGAACTGAATGGAAAATTTGATCTACTAGATTCAGGAGAAACATAAGAAAGTAAACATTAAAGACCATTTATAAAGGATTTAATAAGGTCAGAATGTTTACTTCTATTATGGGAAAATGTAACCTGTAACTCTTAAGAATGTTATCATTGCTTGAGTAGTTTGAAAGAGTATATGTAGATAGAAGTCTTGCAATTGAATTGAGTATGATGGGGTGATCGTAAAAAAATTAAATTGGGTAGGAAGAGGTAAAATGGAGCAATTATCTCATACAAATGAGGCATGAATGGAAGAATTGTCACAGTGGAAGCAGGAGGGAGGTGTAGAGGTGGTAGTGCTAGAACCTTATTCTTACCAGAACTGGGTTTAAGAGGGAATAATATATACATAAAATTTATATCTCTAAGTGCTGGCATCAGTAAAATAGAGAAAGAACAGACAAATGAATTGGGTATACAATTTAAAAAACTAGAAAAAGAACAAATTAAAAATCCCCAATAAAACACCAAATTGGGAATCCTAAAAATTAAAGGGGAAATTAATAAAATAGAATGTAGGAAAACTATTGAATTAATAAATAAAACTAGAAATTGGTTTTGTGAAAAAAACAATAAAATAGAGAAACCATTGGTTAATATGATTTTTGAAAAGAGAGAAGACCAAATTACTAGTATCCAAAATTAAAAGGGTGAACATACCACTAATTAAGATGAAATCAAAGCAATTATTAGGGGTTAGTTTGCCCAATTATATGCCAATGAATTTAACAATTTAAGTGAAATGGAATAATATTTACAAAAATACAAACTGCCTAGATTAACAGAAGAGGAAATAGACTCTCTAAGTAAACCTATTTTAGAAAAAGAAATTGAACAGGCCACAAATGAGCTTCCTAGGAAAACAGCATCAGGACCAGATGAATTTACAATTGAATTCTACCCAACATTTAACGATCAACTAATTCCAATATTAAATAAATTATTAGAAGTAACAGGCAAAGAAGGAGTCCCACTGTGTGCTACAGTTACCCAAAAATAACACTCGGAGATTTTCTAGGTATAAAGTGTAAGATTTATTACGTTCTCACGCGAAGCGGGCGTCTGCTTCGTCCAGCGAAGCAAGGCGAGGCACAAAGGTCAGAACAAAGGTTGTATAGTCCTAACACAGAGACACCCACCCACCACTGGCTGTAAATTCCCATTGGACAGAAATTTCAGCCTTACAATCGAAAACGTGAAAATCTACCCCAGAAACAAGGAATCTCATTATAATACTACCAATCCTAGCTATTTTGTCCTTATTTAGCATTAGCCATTACCTAATACTAATGTAATAGTAAAGATCATGTGTTTTTTAGGAATTTGAAACTTGGGCCTATTCAGACTAGCGTAACCAGCCTTGAGTTTGTAACAGTCTACAAAACTGTTACACTCAGTCCATCTGAGAGATCTCACACTTTTTACATTGTCTCACTCACCACCAAACTCCTTTTGTGAAACAAATATGATGCTGATACCTAAACCAAGAAGAGCAAAAAGAGAGGAAGAAAATTATAGACCAATTTCATTAATGAATATGGATGCAAAAATCCCAAATGAAATACTAGCCAGGAGACTATAGCAGTTATTTCAGAAAGATTATGCATGGTGACCAAGTAGAATTTATACCAGGAATGCAGGGGATGATTTAACATAAGGAAAACTATTAACATAATTGATTATATCAATCACAAAAGTAATAAAAATCATATGATTATATCAGTAGATACAGAAAAAGCTTTTGATAAACTGTGATACTCATTCCTATTAAAAACGCTTGAAAGCGTAGGTATAAATGGATTTTTCCTTAAGATGATAAGAAGCATCTACCTAAAACCATCAGCAAGCATTATTTGTAATGAAGATAAACTAGAAGCCTTCCTGGTAAAATCAGGAGTGAAACAAGGATGCCCATTATCACCAATATTATTCAACATTGTATTGGAAATGCTAGCAATAAGAGAAGAAAAGGAAATCAAAGGAATCAGAATGGGCAGTGAGGTAATAAAACTATGTCTTTTGCAGATGGTATAATGATATACTTGGAAAATCTTATATTCAACTAAGAAGTTAGTTGAAACAATAATTCTAGCTGAAACAACAATAATTTAGATTATAAAACAAACACACATAAATCATCAGCATTTCTCTATGTCAACAATAAAACCCTGCAGGAAGAGATAGTAAGAGATACTCCATTTAAAATAACTGTAGAGAGTATAAACTATCTGGAAGTATACATGCCAAGACAAACCCAGGAATTACATGAACATAATTATAAAACACTTTTTGTACAAATAAAGTCAGATTTAAATACTTATTATTAATTATGGCTGGGCAGAGCCATTATAATAAAAACACCAATTTTACTTAAATTAATCTGTACATTCAATGCCATTCCAATCAAATTACCAAAAAATTATTTTACTGGATTAGGAAAAATAATAACACAATTCATTTGGAAGAACAAAAGGTCAAGAATATCAAAGGAATTGATGAAAAAAATGTGAAAGAAAGAAGTTTCATAGTACCAGATCTTAAACTATATTATAAGGAAGTAATTATCAAAAGTTATCTGGTACTGGCTAAGAAATAGAAAGGTGGATCAGTGGAACAGAGTAGACAGACAATACATAGTAGTAATTGATTATAATGACCTTGTGTTTGTTTGACAGATGTAAAGATTTAAGCTTTTGGGATAAGAATACACTATTTGGTAAAAGTTGTTGGGAAAACTGGAAAGCGGTCTGGCAGAAATTGGGTATAGATCAAACTCTTATACCATTTACCAAGATAAGGTCAAAATGGATACATAACCAATATATAAATGGAGATACCACATAAATTAGAAAAACATGAAACATATTACCTATCACACTTATGGATAAGAGAAGAATAAACAAGACATAGAGAGCATTGTGAGATGTAAAATGGATAATTTTGATTACAGTAAATTAAAAAAGTTTTTCTACAGATAAAACCAATATAGCCAAGATTAGAAGGGAAGTAGAAAATTGGGGGGAAATTTTTATGGACAGTTTCTCAGATAGGTGTCTCATATTTCAAATATATAGAGAATTTTGTCAGATTTATGAGAATATGAGTCATTCCCTAATTGATAGATGGTCAAACAATATGAACAGGCAGTTTTCTTGCAAAGAAATCAAAACTATATATAGTCATATGAAAATGCTCTAAATCATTATTGATCAGAGAAATAGAAATTAAAACAACATTGAGATATCTGACATCTATCAGGTTGGTTAAAATGAAAGAAGGGGGAACTGACAGATGTTGGAGGGAATGTGGAAGAAATGGGACACTAATATGCTGTTGGCAGAACTGTGAAGTGATCCAGCCATTTTGGAAAGCAATTTGGAATTATGCCCAAAGAGTTTGGAAACCATACATACCCTTTGACCCAGCAATACCACTAGTAAGTCTTTTTTCCCAAGGTGATTGAGAAAAAGGAAAAGAACCTATATGTTCTAAAATACTGTGGTGGCAAAGAACTGGAAATTGAGGGGGGTTGTGATGGAATACTTCTGTGCTGTAAGAAATGATGAGCTGGCTCTTATTGGAAAAACATAGACTTACATGAAATGATGAAAAGTGAAATGAGCAGAACCCAAGAGAATGATGTATACAGTAACATCAGTATTGTTCAAAGAATAATTGTAAATGACCAAGTTCTTTTGAGTATTATAAATACTCAAATCAACTACAAAAGAACTATGAAGGAAGGTGCTATCTACCCTCAGAGAAAGATCTGACAAATAGAAGTATGCATAGTTTGGTTTACATTTATTTATAAATCTGTGTCAAATGGTGACCTTCTGTAGCGTGGGGAGGGAGGGAGGGAGAGTGGCAGTTTGGCGCTTAAATTGTAACAAAAAATTAATTTTAAAAGCAACAAAAATAAAATGTGACTGAGAATTAAAATTAATATGTATTTTTGTGTGACACAATTTTTTTCAAAAGGATGATGAGCCAGCACCAGTGGGGAACTACAACCAGAGAAAAGAAGATGAAGACAGTATTTTGGAAAAGCTTACAAAGCAGCTGCAAGAACTTGCTGAGACTATAAGTAAAGAAAACGTAACTCCGTATGTTGAGTAAAACTTTTCATGTGAATAGCTATAACCCTTATAACATTGCCCCAAATAACAATGCTTATAATCACATCATTAATCTATTATAATGCATCTTACCAGAATGTGAAACCATGCAATAATGGTGTTATATTTATGACATCATTCCTATGGAACTAATTGCCCCCATGATATTTTACTAACATAGTTTTTGTGCTGCCTGTTAATAATGGATATGTTTCATATAGCTGTACTAAAGAAGATGAAATTATATAGGACCTAGTTATTCTTCTTATATCACTACTTTTTGGTATTCTCTATTCAGATTGAAGGGATTTTCAATGCTTATTTCTAAACATAGATATAAGCAAGAGGCATTACAATCAACAAATATTTATTAGTCAGTCAACAAGCATGTTTATAAAATGCCTACTATGTGCCAGGCACTCTGCTAAGCACTGAGGATATAAAAAAAGGCAAAACAACAAAAAACCCCAAACCAACCAGTCCTTGCTTTCAGGTCTAATAGGGAAGATAACATACAAACAACTAAATACTAATGAGATATATACAGGACAAATTTTAGATAATCCCAGAGGGAAGGCACTAAGATTAAGGAGGGCTGGGAGAGGCTTCTTCCAGAAAGTGGGACTTTAACTGAGACTGGAGGGAAGGGAGAGATGAGAAGGGAGAGTGTTTCAAAGCCAGTGAAAATCCCTGAAGCTGGGAAATGCAGTGTCGTGTGAGGAACAGCAACGTGGCCAATGTCACCTATGTGGCTTAGGTTGTACCTCTCTGTATTCTCCCCAGTGTCTCCTCCTCTCCAGAAGCTTATGGTCTGTTTTGGAAGAAAAGATACAAACACATGAAAAATAAAATAAGAATATAAAAATCTCAGGAGCTTGTCTTGAGTGTTATAAGTGAAATATTTAGAAGAAAGTTAAGGATTAAATTGATAATGTGGAAGAAGATTCTTGAAATAAAATTTGAATATTTGTTGGTTGATTATAGTATCATTCTCATGCTTATAACTATATTGTTATATTTCTACATTGAATGAATGAATAAAAAAGCACTTACTATGTGCAATGCACCACGCTAAGTGCTGGGAAAACAAACTGAAAAGTGGAGACAGTCACTGGACTCCAGGAACTCACATTCTAATGGGGAAAACAACTTCAGAATTTTAGCTGTGAGTTGGATGGAAAGGCCCTGGGGTACTCTGGGTTTATCGGGAAAGCAGATGGTAATGCATATTCTTTGGTGTTGCTTCTCTTGATAAAACCACATTCATGCCTAATGTGGAAGCCTTTGCAACACCAAGGACTTTGGTGATGACGTCTTTCTTTGCCAGGCCTCAGGAGCAATGGTTGTTGAGGAGATTGGTTTCCAGATCTCATCTCCACAAGAGTTGCTTCCCTGGATGATGGTTGCAGGAGCTAGGCTAAATGAGCAGGGCCACTAGTCTGTAAGTGCTGCTACTCCTGGGACTCTTGGGCTCAGGGATCTTAGGCTGCCTTCAGCTGGATCTGAGATAAGATGGTTGTCCAAGTGGTGGCAGAGGTTAGACCTGCCTGGCACATATTCTGAGTAAAACATGAAAATATCCTTCATTGCAAATGGAGACTAGCCAAAAGTAGGCTAACTAGATCCAAAACAGAATTATTCACTGTAACATAGGCATACCCTACTTAGCAGTGGCAACTGATTCTACAATACGGTATCAAGTGAAATAGTCTTACAAGAGGCCATGAGTTCCATGGGCAGTGTTACCAATGGAATGATGGTAGCATGGGGCTTCCCAATTCTGAGAGATTTGACCATCCCAAACTGATGATTTTATTGTGACGTATCATGGGTACGAGGATTTCTTTTCTTCCTCTTACTATCTGGCATGGTAGTAAAATTTCTTAGTGCCATTTGACCATTTGACCTGCCTCCTCCTTTGTGCCAAGGAACAGATTCCTTCTCCTTGCCTTCATTTTTTCCCCATTTTCCCATTTGAAGATGTGAGCTAACTGCTTTCCAGATGTGGATTTTCCTTTGCATGGGAATAACCAGAGACAGTCTATTTCCTTCACTTCCCTTTTCCCTCGATCTCTGCATCCATTGCACATTTATACAAGCTGGCTTGCCTGCCATAGAAGGGCAGTGTCATACAACCAAAGACTTAGTGGTAGAAGGAAACTCAGAGGGCATTCAGTCCAGCCTCTTCATTTTACAGCTGTGGAAACTGAGCCCTAGAGGAGTTAAGTGACTTGTCCAAGGTCACACAGGTATAATAAGTGACAGGGGTGGGAGTTGAATGCAGGTCCTCCAACTCCAAAGCCGCTGTCCATTGAACCACGTTGAATCATACATGGAATATATCTGCACCTCACTTTAGAGTGATCCTAGTCACAATTGTGTTTACTATAGAGAGGAGAAAGTTCAGAACATTTCCCGGGCTGAAGAAGTGGAAGAAGACTCTGAGGAAACTGAAGATGAGGAGGAGGAGGATGAGGAGGAAGATGACGATGATGATGATGAGGAGGATATTAGTGAAGATGAAGAAAGTGAAGAAAGCAACGAGGAGGATGAGGAAGTAGAAGAAAAGGAGGAAGATGACTCTAGTGACGAACAGCCAACTAGTAAAGAATATATTGCTGTGGGTGATTTTGTCGCTCAGCAAGCAGGAGATCTCACATTTAAGGTAAAAATAATTTGAGCATCCAGTATCAAGATAAGCATAAATGCAATGTTTAACTCATGTGATAAAATACCAGATAAGATCCTAGATCTAGGGTTGGAGAGGCCCATAAAGACCATCTTGTCCAAACCCCTCATTTTAGAAATGAAGAAGCTAAAAACTAGAAAAAGAACAAGTTAAAAATCCTCAGTTAAACACTAAATTAGAAATATTGAAAACCAAAGGAGAAATTAAGAAAATTGAAATTAAGAAAACTATTGAACTAATAAATAAAACTAAGAGCTGGTTTTATGAAAAAACCAATAAAATAGATAAACCTTTGGTTAATTTAATTTAAAAAAAGAAGTAAACCAGATTACCAGTATCAAAAACGAAAAGGGTGAATCCACCACCAAGGAAGAGGAAATTAAAACAATAATTAGGAATTATTTTGCCAAATTGTAGGCCAATAAATTTGACAATCTTAGTGAAATGGATAAATATTTACAAAAATATAAATTGCCGAGATTAACAGAAGAGTAAAATACTTAAGTAACCCCATCTCAGAAAAAGAAATTGAACAAGCCATTGATGAACTCCCTAGGGAAAAATCTGCAGGGCCAGATGGATTTACAAGCGAATTCTATCAAACATTTAGAGAATAATTAATTCTAATACTATACAGACTATTTGGGAAAATAGGTGGAGGAGTCTTACCAAATTCTTTTTATGATACGAATATGGTGCTGATACCTAAACCAAGAAGAGTCAAAACCGAAAATTAGAGACCAATTTCCCTAATGAATATAGGTGCAAAAATTTTAAATAAGATATTAGCAAATAGATTACAGCAACTTATCACAATAATAGTACACTATGACCGGGTAGGATTTATGCCAGGAATGAAGGGCTGGCCTCAATATTAGGAAAACTATCAGCATGATCCTATCAACACCAAAACTAACAGAAACCACATGATTATCTCATTAGATGCAGAAAAAACTTTTGACAAAATACAACACCCATTCCTATTAAAAACATTAGAGAGCATAGGAATAAATGGAGTCGTCCTTAAAATGATAAATAGCATCTACCTAAAACCTTCAGCAAGCATCATATGTAATGGGGACAAGCTAGAAGTGTTTCCAGTAAGATCAGGAGTGAAACAAGGATGTCCATTATCACCACTGTTATTCAATATTGTGCTGGAAACGTTAGCTTTAGCAATAAGAGAAGAAAAAGAAATTGAAGGTATTAGAATAGGCAGAGAAGAAACAAAGCTATCACTCTTTGCAGATGACATGATGTTATACTTAGAGAATCCTAGAGAATCAAGTAAAAAACTACTTGAAGTTGTTAGCAAAGTTGCAGGCTATAAAATAAACCCACATAAATCATCAGCATTTCTGTATATTACCAACAAAGCCCAACAGCAAGAGATAGAAAAAGAAATTCCATTTAAAGTTACTGTAGACATTACAAAATATTTAGGAATCTACCTACCAAAACAAACCCAGAAACTATGAACACAATTACAAAACACTTTTCACACAAAGTCAGATCTAAATAATTGGAAAAATATCAGTTGCTCATGGGTAGGCCAAGCTATTATAATAAAAATGACAATTCTACCTAAGCTAATTTACTTATGCAGTGCCATACCAATCAAACTACTAAAAAATTATTTTATAGAGTTAGAAAAAATAGTAACAAGATCCATTTGGAAGAACAAAAGGTCCAGAATATCAAGGGAACTAATGAAAAGAAATGCAGGGAAAGGTGGCCTAGCCATTCTAGATCTTAAATTGTATTATAAAGCAGCAATCATCAAAACTGCTTGGTACTGGTTAAGAAATAGGGTGGTGGATCAGTGGAATAGGTTAAATATATAAGACACAGTAGAAATGAAGAAACTGAGGCACAGCTCCTCTAACTCTGGAGGCAGTATTCTTTCTTCTGTATCATGAAACTAAGTACATAGCAATGATGCTCTTCAGCTTCCTCTCAGAGCCAAACACTCTTCATTAAGAGAAGAAAAATATATGAGACAAGACATACAAATAAAAGTTACATGAAACTGTCAGTAAAATAAAATCTATCTCCTTTGGACTTTTTCTGCAAGGCCAAGAATTATTAGAAATAATAGTTGGGGGGCAGGCAGGTGCCTCAGTGGATAGAACACCAGCTTTGGAGGCAAATCCAGGCTCAGATATTTGACACTTACTTGCTGTGTGACCCTGAGCAAGTCACTTAACCTCTATTGTCTTGCAAAAGAAAGAAAGAAAGATGATAGTTGGAAGTTGCAGAGAGGCAGATTTAGGCTTGAGGTAAGGGAAAACTTCCTGATAATTAAGAGTTGAATTCCACGGAGGGGAGTAGACTCCTTAGGGTCTTCAAGCAAATATGACCACTTGTTGGAGATCTTAGAGGGGATTCTTGTACAGGTATCAGTTGGATTAGATGGCCTTCCAACTCTGAAATCCTCTCATTCCTTTGAAACAAAGTAGAATTTGCAGAGTAATGATGAAAAGCTTGAAATATATTTAATATTGAACAAGTTTAAACTTTCCTTTTCTTATGTAAGAGGTGTGAATTTGAGACTGATACTTAGGATGAACATAGAAGGCTAAAATTGAAAGAACTTTAGCATTTATCTAATCCCCTCATTTGACAGATGAGGCCAAAAGGAAGAATGCCTTTTTTTTTCTTTTTAAAAAAAATTTTTTTATTAATTTATTTTGATTTATCAACAATCACTTCCATAAGCTTTTCAGTTTTAAATTTTTCTCTCCCTCTCCAAGGCGGCTTGCAATCTGATATAGGCTATACATATACATTCCTATTAAACATATTTTCACATTAGTCACACTGTAGGAAGAATTAGAACCAATAAGAGGAACCACCAGAAAGAGGAAACAAAACAAAACAGAAAGAAAAGAATAGCAAATAGTATGCTTCAATTTGCATTCAAACTCCATAGTTCTTTCTTTGGATGTGGATAGTATTTTCCATCATGAGACCTTTGGAGAGGTCTTAGATCCTTGCATTGCTGGGAAGGGCTAAGTCTATTAACATTAGTCATCATATAATGTGGCTGTTACCGTGTAGAACGTTCTTCTGCTTCTGCTCCTTTTACTTAGCATCGGTCCATACAAGTCTTTCCAGGTTTTTCTGAAGTGTGCCTGCTCGTCATTGAAGAATGACTATCTTAAGGTTATAAGCTAATTAGCGGCTCTTATATTCAGTTCAATTGTTTTTCAGTCACGTCTGAGTCTTCATGACCCCATTTGGAATTTTCTTGGCAAAGATATTGGAGGAATTTGCCATTTTCTTCTCCATCTCATTTTACAGATGAGGAAACTGAGGCAAACAGGGTTAAGTGACTTGCCCAGGGACACACAGCTAGTAAGCATCTGAGGCCAGATTTTCTGACTCCAGAGCTGGCACTCTATCAGCTGCACCACCTAGCTGCCCAGCATCTCTTAAGTATACATTAAAAAAAATTTTTTTTGAGTTATGGTAGTATAATTTGAGCCATGATAAAAGGAAAAACTTGGTACTTTTATTTAGTAATTCTTAATGCTGACATGGATATAACAAAAAGTCTTCCTTAGCAACTGTACCTATCAGACCATCACAGAAGTGACAGGGAGAATAAAAGTATATAACATTTTACTAAAGGAGCTTGAGAACCCTTCTTTCTAGTAGTGAAGGTGAGCCAAAATATAATTATAATCTTATGAAATTTGATGGATATCAATTATTAAACTTCTTAATCTGTATTATACTGAGATTTGATAAAAAAAAAACCAAATTGGCTTATAGAATTTCACGTAATTTTCCAACAGATCAATTTACACAATAAATTCTTCATTAATTTTATTTCTAATTGTAATTTTCAAATCCTGTTTGAAAATATAATTTAAAATCATGGTAAGATTAGAGCAGATTAAATATAAAGTAAGAGAAACATCAATTTTTAGCACATATTATGAAGCATAAGTAACGATGTACTTATTAATCCTGGGTTTCTTGTTTTGTTTTTCTTTTAAGAAAGATGAAGTTCTCCTCATACTGAAAAAGAAACCTGATGGCTGGTGGATAGCTAAGAATATTCATGGAAATAAAGGTCTTGTTCCCAAAACCTATCTGGAGGTTAGCATGTATATTTATTTTTCTTAATTTTTATTTTTCAATTTCATCTTAGTTTTCTCTTCATTATTACAATTTCTCTGCCCACGTTTACCTTTTGTATAGCTGTAGAATCTTTTGATCTATAAAATGAATTTAAATCAAAAGGGATAAAGGCATAAGAAATCTATCTATCTGTATCTATATCTGTGTCTCCTAAATGCATCCGTAAAATGACCGTGAGCCCTTGGATTGAAATCTTTTTTTTAAAAGTGATATAGCTGGGGCAGCTGGATGGTGCAGTGGATAGAGCACCGGCCCTGGATTCAGGAAGACCTGAGTTCAAATCCGGCCTCAGACACATAATACTTACTACCTGTGTGACCCTGGGCAAGTCACTTAACCCCATTGCCTAGCCAAAAAAAAAAAAGTGATATAGCTAAATTTTTTAAAATATAAATTGAATTCTCTGGATGGTAAAAATGTCCTATTTCAATCATTTCTAGCCCTGTGTTAAAAAGAAAGAGGACCCGGAATACAGCGAAGAGGAAAGTGAAGAAGATGTAGAGGTGGTAGATGAAACAGCTGATGGGACAGAGATTATACCACGGTAAGAATGTTTGGGGGAGCGTGAAAGGAGGTACAGGCAAAATGTATTAATTCCATTCTTTTCATTAAAAATAACTTGAAGAACTTCATAAAAATTAGATATATTTTCTGCTTTAATTCTTCTAAAAGTCAAAAGAACATTTGAGCTTTATGAACATTTTCAGAGTAAAAGGTTATATCTTTCCTTGGTTATACCCTAAAGGCATTAGATTTGCTTCGCCCGTTGACAATTTAGTACATCCACTACTAGCTAAATGTGTGTTGAATAAATATCTATAAGTAGGCACAGCTTTTGTATTGTTTCATATGTATATGATTTTCTTATTTTTGTCTATCCCTAGAACTGATTCTCATTGGAGTGCCCTTAGAAAAGCTATTACAGAGGTTAGTATCTTTCTTACAATATTAATGATGTCTCATTTTAGTATCTGGCCATCCTACTATATAATCAAAAGTGGAATGGGACTTGGGGTGATTTACTTTTATATGAGGTACCAGGCACAGGCTTTTAATGGAAAGCTATAGTAATCAAAAAAACTATAGGAGCTTAGGATGTAAACTAAACCTAGGTTTTGTTTTGTTTTTTTAGATTCTAGCTTTGGTTACCGTTCTAGTAAAAAGATGGGTGAAGGAAAAGGATTAAAATCTTTGTACAGAGGATCGTAGAATTTAAAGCTTGAAAGATCCTTAGATGGGGAACATCCAGTCCAAGCATTCTTAATTTTGTGTGTGTGTGTGTGTGTGTGTGTGTGTGTGTGTGTATGTGTGTGTGTGTGTGTGACAGACTCCTTTGACAAACTGGCAAAGGCTGTGGACCCCTTTTTAGAATCATGTTTAAGAATCATAAAATAAACAGCATAGGATTTACAAAGGAAAAGAAAGATCCCATGCACAAAATGGAACATGAGGTACATGAGTTAGATGAAAGTTGTTTAATGGCCTTGCAATCTAAGAAGCATTTTTCTAATAGGACCTCAGAGATAGAGCAGGCAGCTATTTACATTGCATAGTTGAGTAAAGCCCCTGGCGCCAGTATCTTTCCTCTCGATTGCCCCTCTGCCTGAAATTCCTACCATTTGGTGTCTCCTCCTCAGTTTAAGACCTCTGTTAAAATGCACATATCGTTCTGAGAGGATAACACTATGCCACTATGAGTCATTAACACTACACCTCAGCTTCATTTATAGTATTAAGCTAGCTAATCACATCACAATGTCCCAAAGGAATGAAAATCAGGATTTTAAAATTTATTGGGGTGGGAGTGAGGAATAAGAGAGGGATGGGCCTGTGGCGTATGGAATACTTCATTGAGGAGTAGGTGTCTACTGAAGGGAAATGGGCCTAGGAAGGCAGACAGACCATTTCCTGGGAGTAGTAGTGATTCACTGACTACAATCCTTTACAAAATTTGTTATTGAATTCCTTGTTTTCTCCAATTCACAGCCTCCCCCCCCATTTATGTATATATATTTTTACTGGCATAATGGATGTGTGTATCTATGGTATATTATAAGGTGTGGAAAAAGGGGCATAAAAATCACTATTGCATTTCTTCCCTAACTAGAGTAACACAGTTGATGTGTTGACAGCTATGGGAGCTATTCCTGCAGGGTTTCGACCATCAGCTCTTTACCAGCTCTTAGAAGAAGGTAAGGTCTGAGTTGTCATTTACTGAGACTGGAAGCCAAACAACCTTGTATTCTAATTTCTCTGATACATTAGTAACAGATGTCATGGATAACTCAACTTGGTTGATGCTAACATATACTTCGTTCTTGAAAGAAAGGGGAGCTTTGTGTTCTTCTTTGAGAGAAACAAATTGTTAGCGAAATTCTAAGGCAATTCTTACTTTTTATATAGAAAAGAAAAATTTTTTTAAAGGAACCAGAAATATTTTTATTTCTAGCAAGAATCTCTGTAATTCCTTGCTTTGCAATTAATATTTAATTCTAATTTTAGGAGATTTGACATGCAAAATGTTTGTCTAATTATTATCTGGGATAGTTTTCTCATTCTTTTTCTCAGACTTTTATTATGTTGTTATAAATTCATATGATTCTAATAATCATTTTAGGGATAATAAAGTGTGATGAATTATTAGATAATGAAATAAAATAGACTGATGGTTTGGTAGCAGTTATTTCTAATCATCTTACCTTGTGAATCAACATACTTAAAAACTAGTCCGAAAAAAATGACCAAAGGCCATAAATTATGCAAATTATATATTTTTCGTGTCTTACATACTGGCAAATTTCTTAAAATATTACTGATATAAGCAGAGCAGCTAGGTGGCGCAGTTAATTGAGCACAGAGCTTAGAATCAAGAAGACTCTAGTTAAGTCACTTAACCCTGTTTGCCTCAGTTTTCTCATCTTTAATATGAGCTAGAAAAAGATATGTCAAACCAGTATCTTTGCCAAGAAAACCTCAAATGGGGTCACAAAGATTTGGACACAACTAAAATGAATCAACAACAAAAAATTATAAGGAGACCAAGATATGGGAAGAGATTTGCATGTGGAAAGATTTGCAAAAACTAAAAATGAATTCAGATAGCTCAGATAATTTATGTAAATTCTTTAATAATAATAATAATAATGATTACCAGATTTCTACAAATGAAGAATAAATTTAGAGGCAGCATAATGCAATGCAAATAGCTCTGGACTTGGAACAAGGAGAGACGAGTTCAAATCCCTTACCTGACAATTAGCAAATGTGTAGCCATATAAAAGCCCCTGAACCTTTCCTCGTGTAGAAAACGAAGAGGATAATAAAGGTAGAACGTACCTCACAGTTTGGTTGTAATCAGATCATGTTAGGAAAGTGCTTAACCATGAACCTGTTACATCACAGATTTAGACCCAAAAGGGACCTTAAAAGTTATCTAGTCCAATCCCCTCATTTTACAGATGAGGAAACTGAGGCTCCCAGAAAATATAGTGAGTGAATTGCCTGAGATCACACAGGTAGTAAGTAGCAGAGCTGGGATTCAGACCTGGGTTTTCAAAAGACTCCAGTTTTTTTGCTGCTTCCCATGAACACATGTCAATGTTACCGTAAAAATCTACATAGAATATTGAGCTACAGGGTGTGAATGCATTTGTGGTCTCTCTTCTTTTGAAGAGAATGGAGAGAGATGTCTGTGAATTGGTTAGTATAGAGAGCTTCCAGTATGGAACCTCTTTCCACTGATCCAGATGTCTTGTTGTTGAGTCATTTCAGTTGTCTCTGACTCTCTGTGACCCCATTGGGGGTTTTCCTGGGAAAGATCCTGGAGTGGTTTGCCATTTCCTTCTCCAGCCCATTTTACAGATGAGGAAACTGAGGCAAAGAGGGTTAAGTGACTTGCTCAGGATCACACCACTAGTACATGTCTGAGGCTGGTTTTGAATTCAGGAAGATGAGTCTTGGGGCAGCTAGGTGGCGCAGTGGATAGAGCACTGGCCCTGAAGTCAGGAGGATCTGAGTTCAAATCCGGCCTCAGACACATAATACTTCCTAGCTGTGTGACTCTGGGCAAGTCACTTAACCCCAATTGCCTCACTTTAAAAAAAAAAAAAGGATGAGTCTTCCTGACTCCAGGCCTGGCACTCTATCCACTGTGCCACCTAGCTGCCCATCTGTATCCAGACTGACCCATCTGTAACTTACAGTCTTGGAGAGTTGTCTGAGGCCCTGAAAGACTAAATGACTTGTCCATGGTCATACAGCAAATACGTGTCTGAGATAGAACTTGAATTCAGGTGTTCCTGACTCCAGTGCTGGTTCTTTATCCCTAGCACCACACGGCCTCAACATTAATGGGATAACATGAAAATGTTTTCACGGAAAGTAGTCAAGATAATAATTGCATTTTTTTCTTTAAAAGTGTTAACATACGATCTTCTGCATTTGACAACAATGTGCTACTTTGTGTACGCCTCTATCTCATTAAGTTTCTTGAGGAAGGATCTACTTTAGAAAGCAAACTCTGTAGTCATCTTGGTTACACAACGTTGAAAAGCTTTCGAATTAAGGAAAGTAGCCCCACTAGAATGGAAAGGAAGCTGCTGACCAGGGGGTAAACTCTTCTTACCAAATATTGGTGATAAGGGGCCCAAATCCAAGATACGTAGGAAATGAACACAAACATATGACCAAGGGCTACTGATTAATGGAAAAGCAGTCAAAGCACAGGGGACAGCTAGGTGGTTCAGTGGATAGAGCACTAGGCCTAGAGTCAGAAAGACCTGAGTTCAAATGTAGCCTCAGACACTTACTAGCTGTGTGACCCTGAACAAGTCACTTAACTCCTGTTTGCCTCCATCCACTGGAGAAGAAAATGGCAAACCATCCAGTATCTTTGCTAAGTATGGTCCACGGGATCACAAAGAGTTGGACACAACTCCACAACAGTCAAAATTTAGGAACAAACAGATCTCAAAAGAAAAATGGCAGACTTAAAGACCTGGAGAAACATTGTTCTGAATCACTAATAACAAAAGAAATGCAAATAGGAACAATTCTGAGGTTTCAGTTTACCCAAGCAAATTAGCAAAGATCACAAAGGATGAGATTGCCAAACGTGGTACAGCAGAAAGAGCTCTTAGAGGCAGAGGATTTGGGTTCAAATCCTCCCTCTGATGCTTACTGCCTGTGTGACCTGGGTCAAGTCACATAATCTCCCTTGTTTACTTGGCTACAAAATAAGACGCTTGTATGAGATGAACTTTGAAGCTCCTTATGTCTCTGTAATCTTTATGTGCTGCTGGTGGAGCTGTGAATTAGCCTAGAGTGGAAATCAGTCTGCAGTTACACCAAGTATGTGACTCAGATGTATATGCTGTGACATAGACATCCTGCTGCTAGGCTCTAGAGAAGTCGAAGACAGAAAGGTCCCACAAACACCAAAATGTTCATAGAGACACTTTTTGTTGTGATAGAGAATTGGAAACAAAGTAGATGCCTATCAGTTAGGGAATGACTGAACAAATCATGGTAATGGAATATTACTGTGCCATAAGCAGCAATGGAAGGGAAAGAAAGTACACCTCCTTCCCTTCTTTGCAGTAATTGAGGTGTGCACGGGTGCAGACCTGTGTATATGCTGTCAGACCTGTTGAATTTGTTGGTTAGTTTTGCTTTTCTTTTTTCTCCTCTTTTTGATTCTTTGTTATAAGGATGGCTGTCTGGGTAGGGAATGGTATTAGAAATGGAAGTAATCTGAAAACAAAAGCTGTCAATAAAAATGAAAGAATAGGCTCCTTGGAACCTAATGACACTTTGGTTTTTGATTAGTTTTCTATAACTCCTTCCTTATTTCCTGGCACAATGTCAGGCACCTAGGGGGTGGCATATGATAACTGATGGTGATAATAAAAATATAATGTCATTATTTGATCATGCATTTCACTTCTTTTCTTGTAAGAAGAAAAAGGAATTTTTTTTTCAGGGAATCAGTTTCAAGCAGGTTACTTTTTACAGCCTGAACTTACCCCTTCGCAATTGGCCTTTAAAGATATGATATGGGATCCAGAAAATGGCACTGTAAGTATTTACTATCAGAAAAACTATATATTTTCAAGATTTAGGTACATTCCCAAATATATGAATAAAGTACATTTCCCAATATGAAAATTGGGTAATATATGGCAGGATAAAATCTTTTTTGGGGGGAGTGGCCCATGTATATATAGTAATGTCCTTTAACTGTTACAAATTTGTGATGTGCAGAACCTTAAATAGGATTTGGTTACCATGGCTTTATTCCTCATCCATTCTCTGTCATTTACAATTCTGCTGTCAGGGAGAAAAAGCAATTTATTTTATATTTCTGCTTTATAAAACTGTTAGAAGTGAGAAAGTTGGGCATGACTTCTGATGTTGCTGTTTGGTGAGAGCAAAGTACTAGTCAGGGGTGAGGAACCAGCAGCCTTGAGGCCACATGTGGCCTTCTAGGTCCTTGGGTGTGGCCTTTTGACTGAGTCCAAGTTTTACAGAACAAATCCTTTTATGAGGGGTATTTGTTCTGTGAAGTTTAGATTCAGTCAAAGGGCTGCACTTGAGGACCTAGAGGGCTGCAGGTTCCCCACCCTTGGATTAGAATATTACTAGGCAGTCTTTCCCAGAACTAAAGGTGTAGACTATAAACTACCTGTTTGTAAGTTGGAAGGAAGAATGTAAATATTTTAAAACTACTTTGTTTTTTAGAAACATTATGGAACTTTCCCTGGCCCCCTTTGTTCTTCCTATGAGATTAGTCTAGCACATCATACCTCTTTTGTTGCAGTTTCATTTTTTACTTTGCGTCATAGTTATTTGTGCACATTTTATCCCCTCTATTAAAACCTAGATTTTTAATGAATATATTCTTTTCCTTTTTGTAGGTTCCTTAGGGTTTATGGTGCTTTACACATGGTGGGCAGTCAGTAAAGATTTTTTGAGTTGATGTATTGCTTAAATTAGAGATCATAACCCTTGACTGCCATGTACTATAAAATACTAAATATTTTGAAGGTCTGCATGTGATATTTTTTCCTAATGTTAACAGGATTTTTACCAAGACAGTCTCTAACCTGAGAATGCTCTGACAGGAGTGCCAGTAATCAAGTAATTTAATTAATCAGTTTCAGAGTGAGGAATATTCTCTTTGTTGAAGTAAAAGCGCAGGTTATATACTTAAATCACACCTGTGGAAGGAGGGAGGAAGGTGGATTATAATCACTTAGTAGTTTCGCACAAGAAACCCATAAGTTCCACAATACAACAATTCTGGAGTCAAATCTTTTGGGGTTGTGACCACCTTCCCTGAAGTATAGAACCAGAGTTTTACAGGAGCAGGTTCTACAATCTTTGATTCACTTCACTTAAGGTCCAGTGATTGTGAGAGTTGTCAGAATTTTGATTAATCAGTTTAAGCTGCACTGTGAGCTCTGATCCCCAAGCCAGAGAGGCAGCTGTTGAGAAACCTAAATTATTAGTATAGTCATTACACATATCATGTCCATTAATATGAAAATTATAAAGTCCTTTCTCACTACCATTTGCATTCTCTCTAAGTCATGTTAATAGATATAAATGGCCATCTTTAGTCCCTTTTTCTGTGCCTTTCTATCATCTACTTATTCTGTCTATGAATGGTACTTCTCTTCTACAAAAATAATGACCTTCCATCTAGTGGTCAGATGTTTCAAATGTCTTGAATTGGAGCTTTTCTAACTTCTGTCTCATACCTAGAAGTGCAGTAAGATTTTGAGTTTCTTTTGTTTTAGAGGTAGAAGAAAATAGAGCAATTTCCAAAGCAGCTAAGTAACAATGAAATTTTTGCTTAAAAGCTAGTACAGTTTTGATATAAATCTGAACTCTAATAAAACTTAAAATAGAGTGATGGAATCTTTGAATTGGAAGCAAGGGTATGCTGGTAAATGTTTTACAATTGGTTGTCCATTTCTGTAATATTGGTATCACAGATACATATGCATATGTATGTGGATATATGACGCTTTAAAATTTAACCTGTATTTTCAATATTTTATCCATCGCTTTCTTAAGTTTAGATTCTCTAGACAATCAACGAAACAATAAATCAAGCTGTGCTTTTGTAATATTTGCTGATTTCTGAGGTATAAATATTCACACTGAGAGCTGGCTTCAGCACAGCCCTGGTTGGAAGGAACCTTAGAGGTCAACTTGTACAGCCTTTAACTATCAGTCAGACTCTTGATCAGTAAGCATTTATTAAGCACTTACTATGTTCCAGGCACTGCTAAGCATTGGAGATATAAAGAAGGGCATAAGATAGTCAGTCCCTGCCCTTGAGTTGCTCATAGTATAATAATTGAAGCAGGAATCCACACGAATGTACTTACTAGTAGTAAAATAAATGAAATATTAACAAAAAAATTTGATGTTTTAACATTTTTAAAATTAACTTAACATTAACTGTTTAAATAGTTACCAGATAGTGGTATTTTCCTTCTTGTAAATTTGCAGTCTTTTTTTTTCTTTTTTGTATGTGTGCTTTCTTAGCTAACTGAGTTTAATGTATTCAGTTTAACTTATCAGTGGTAAATATATGATATGCTATGTATGGAGAACAGTATGAATTGTAAACAAAAAACCTTTTTACATATATGTGTGTGTTTATTTACTTGTTTGTTGGTTTATTTGCCCTAGATTAAACCCAGACCAAGCCGTGTGTCGTTGATTCTAACCTTGTGGAGTTGTAAAATGATTCCTCTTCCAGGGGTGAGCCTACAGGTTCTCAGGAGGCACGTTCGCCTCTGCCTGTTTGATGGAAGCAAGGTGAGCTCTGCTGGTGCAGTCAGTCATGAGATCATACACTGAGAGCTGGAAAGGGCCTCACAGGCCAGCCAGTCCAGTCATCTCCTTTCACAGATAAGGAAACTAAGACCTGAAGATGTGAAGGGACCTTCCAAAGCATCTCAGTAACAATGAAAATTTGCTTAAAAGCTAGTACTTGATAAAAGTCTAAAGTTGAATCAAACTTTAGGTCACAGGTAGTAAGGGGCAGAGTGGAAATTTAAATTTAATTTAATTTAAATTAAATCCCTGCCCTCTGACTCCAAAGCCAATGTTCTTTCCACTGTGCTAACTGCATAGGACGCTTTGGTACAAAATGCTGTATCTTCAGAATGTTTTGCCAAGTATTACCATATTTTTGTGACTTTTTCTGTCCTTTCTTTGTTAAGTTGTCTAGAGACACCAAGCGTTTGCGTCAGAAAGGCACCTCCAAATTCAGCTGATTAGTTGATTGTTTTATCTACATAAGTCATATGCCTTAAAAATAACATTGAATTGATCTAATTGCCCAATTCTAAAGACACTGTAAACATGTTTGGTTTTTTTTTTTAAATTTTGGTTTCTCAGGCTTAATAATTGGTAATATAGAGCACAGGTCTTTCCTGTTTTACAAATGAGGAAACTGAGACTCCTCAGTGTTAAGTAACTTGCTCAAGGCCACATAGCTCATGAGCGGCAAACTCAGGACTTAAACCATGTTCTAAAGGTCGCTGGCTGTCTGATGACAAGTCCAGTGCTCTTTCCAGCATGATAGGGTGGGAAAAAAGCATGGGTTTACAATTGGAACACCTAAGTTCTAATCCTGGCTCTTCTGTTTGCCAGCTACGTAGCCTCTCTAGGCCTTACTTATCTGTAATACAGTAATAATGCCTGCATTGGTTACCAGCAAGCATAGGCAAAATAGCCATGGCCTAGGGCAGTTTCTGGCCCCTGACACAGAGCACAGCTTCTGAAACTCTCAGCAGGGAAATTTGCAACAACCTATGAATTGCTGCAGGGTAGGGTCCTTCAGGTGGTGCTATCATGTAAGACAGTCACACTCAAAGTACAGTTCAGACTAAATACTTCGAGGCTGGATAAGATGACAGGCAGCAGGGGTGGGATCCAGCTTTGGATTTTTATGGGGACTGCATGAAATACCTGGACAAGCCTTTGGTACCAACAGCTGTAGAAGTATGGGTAGTCCTCTACTTTTGTAGTGGTGATCCTCATTAATGTAAGAGCAGGCACCAATTTACCAGGTCAGGTACACATCTAAAGTACTTTGGGAAATGGAACTAAAACTCATATGTGAATACATTTTTTATCTGAAAAAAAATCTGACCCATTTGAAAAAGTATCTATCAATCAGTAATTTTATCCTGTTTGCACAACACAGTCCTTGTGTTTTGTCTAAATTCCTTTAAATAAGTCATGGGATAAACATTCTTACTACAAATGTTATGGTTGACTAAAGGAGTCTTTAATTCCCTAGATCTTGAAGAATAATAGTCCAAATATTCACCAGACAGAACTGGTTAACTTTCCCTATAAAACCACTCCTATAGACGTTCCTGTTTCTATTAAGGGACCACCATCCTGAATTCATCCCTCTCCCACGTCCCTATCAGTTTTCTTTCACAACATCTTTTGTGTCTGTGCCTTAGTTTCCACTCACACCAGCATTGCCCTGGTTTAGCACCTCTCATCCTGAACTATTGCAATAGCTTTCTAATTGATTGCCCTGCTTCCCTTCTCTTTGCTTTTCAGTCCTTCCTCCATTAAACTGCCAAATGCTCCCCCTAGAGTACAGGTCTGTCCATGTCACTGTCATTATTTCTAGGATAAAATACAGTCCTCAGTATGGGACATAAAAGCCCCACACATGCGTCCTTCCTGCCTTTCCTTATTTCATTTTGCTTCCCACATGTCCTCTATGTTCTGTCCAAACTGGCCTATCAGCACTTTCTTGAGCTTGATATTTCCCAACTCCATGCCTTTGTGGAGGTTGTTTCCCCATGCCTGGAATCCCCCATTCCTCAGCCTCTGCCTCTTTAGCTCCTTAGCTTTACTTCCAGGTTCAATTTAGATTCGCTCTCTTAGGCAAAGGCTTTCTTGACACACACCCCCCACACGCACACAGTTTTTAGTTTTCTCCTTCTCCGTTACTTTATGTTCACTTACATGTTGTATCTTCTCAGTAGAACATAAGCTCCAGGCACTCTTTCATCTTTGTCTTTAGATTATAAGACTAATAAAGTTGGAAGGGACCTCAAAGGCCATCTAGTGCTGTACACATTCTAGATACTTAAAATGTTTTCTGAAATTTAATTGAATCAGAACTTTTAGGGTAAATGCCAAATAAGTCCTGTTGATCTCCATAACCAGATAATTTTTATTTATTGTATTAACTATTTTTATATTAACTATTTTTTAAGACCATGCTTAATAACCCACTGAACACAAATAATTACAGGCATAAGAGTTAAAGTCTGAATTCATGTATAGTCTTAAGAAATCTTAGTTTACTCACTTTAATAACAGTATTAGTTAAGGTCTTTAATCTTGAAAAAAGTAAAGCATTTCCTGATTTTTTTCCCAAGGTAATTTCATGTATCAAAATCTCTTTTCAGGTTCTTAGCAATATTCATACAGTCAGAGCTACGTGGCAACCTAAGAAGCCCAAAACCTGGACCTTTTCTCCTCGGGTGAGTGAGCAACTTAACAAATGGAGTGAAAATTAACATTCTTTCCATATTAAATATAATGTATTAAATTTTCAAGACTTGGCTGTCATTGTGTACTCCTTATAGTGTTGTTCTTTCAAAAACACAATAGTAAACTTACAGAGAGGAAATGGGCAATATGTTACATGGTTATGTAACTAGTTCGCTCTGTTGCAAATGGGACTAAATTTTTACCTAAATCCAACAAGTACTTCGAGTACTTAAATCAATCACTCCTTTTTCTGAGTCACTGAAATTATAACTCCAATGAATCATCATGCTTTAGTCCTTCAAAGAATCTGTGGCTTCATCAGCATGAGTACTCCCATACCTGGTGCCAGTTTCAATCCTTCCACACCCTGTCCTGTATACCTCTTTCTCTAAGTCTCCCATGAAGGATAACTCTAATGGCAGTGAAGACTTTACACTTACTCTTTTTAAAAAATTTTTATTTATTTTTAATTTATGAAATAAAACTAGCATGTCTAAAACATAGTTCAATAATAAAAAGATGGTGAAATGATCCAACCATTTTGGAGAACAATTTGGAACTATGCCCAAAGAGATACAAAAATGTGTATACCCTTTGATCCAGCAATAGCACTTCTAGGGCTGTATCCCAAAGAGATCATACAAATGGGAAAAGGACCCACATGTACAAAAATATACATAGCAGCTCTTTTTGTGGTGGCAAAGAATTGGAAATTGAGAGAATGCCCATCAATTGGGGAATGGCTGAGCAAGTTGTGGTATATGAATGTAATGGAATACTATTGTGCTATAAGAAATGATGAACAGGCTGACTTCAGAAAAACCTGGGAAGATTTATATGGTCTGATGCTGAGTGAAGTGAGCAGAACCAAGAGGAATTTGTACACAATAGCAGCCACGTTATGCAGTGACTAAGAATGTTAAACTGAACCCTTCTCAGCATTATGAGGGTCTGAGACATCTCCAGAGGCCTCGGGAAGGAAAATGCTGTCCACATCCAAAGAAAGAACTATGGAAGTCGAATCACTCTTGCTTATTTTTACCTTCAGTTGAGTTTTGTTTCATCTTTTCTGATGGTTCCTCCTATTGGTTTAAATTTTTACTTACAACTTCACTAATGTGAAAGTATGTTTAATGGGTATGTAAATGTAAAGCCTATGTCAGATTGTGTGCCGTCTTGGGGAGGGCGAGGGAGGGGAGAAAAAGGGAGAAAAATTTTCAACTCAAAAGCATATGGAAAAAAAAATGGAAAAAAAAGTCAAGATAAAAAAAATAATAATAAAAAGATGATTGCATATGAAACTGCAAATCTATAATGTACAACTTGGTGTTCCTTTTAAACATATAATAAATTTGTCATGTAAATTTCTCTTTTTCTTTTTTTTTCTCCCCCCAGTACACAATGAGTATAAAGAACACACTTATTCCTTAAATGCTGAGGGCATTTGTCTGTCTTCCTTTACTTTGATCAATACAGACAGCCCATACATGGTTTCTAAGTGTCTTGGATGATATTTTTATGTCACTTCTGACATAGAGAAGAAATCACCTCAGAGATTCAGAGAGAGGGAAAGGTCTTCTGTAGAAGGTGGGATTTGAGGGACGTGGAGGAAATGGAATTCAAAACAGGCAGAATTCAGAAAGTAAAGTGTGTTTTTGTAAACTAAATCCTACTAGGACAATGTGCTATGTACATTTGTATTTCCCAGAGTTTGGAGGAAAACCCACCAAAGGATATCTCAGTAGGTGGGATTTTGATTAAGTGGATTAATTCCCGAGTCAGTATTAATTAGAAACCAGATGATAGATTCTAGACTTCCATAGATGAGAAACTGCCTTGCACTCCTCTTTTTCATTATATCTAGATATCATATGTCAAAGAATGTTCAAATTATTGAACAGTGCTCTCATTTCACATGCCAGCAAGGTTATGCTTAAGATTCTGCAAGCTAGGCTTCAGCAATGCGTGAACCAAGAATTAGCAGAAGTGGAGGCTGGATTTTGAAGAGGCAGGGGAGCTAGAGACCAGATTGCCAACATTCACTGGATGATAGAGAAAGCAAAGGAGTTCCAGGGAAACATCTACCTCTGCTTCATTGACTGCACTGAAGAACTTTGACTACGTGGATCACAACAAAATGTGACAAGTCCTCAAAGATATGGGAGTACACATTATCTTATTTGTCTCCTGAGGAACCTGTATGTAGGCCAAGAAGCAACAGTTAGAACCAAATATGGAACAACTGATTGGTTTAAGGTTGGAAACAAAGTATGGCAAGGCTATATATTGTCACCTTATTTATTTAACTCATATGCAGAGTACATCATGCAAAATGCCAGTTTAGACAAATTAATTTGCCAGAATTAAGATTGCTGGGAGAAATATCAACTATCTCAGATATGAAGATGATGCCACTCTATTGGCATAAAGTGAAGAATTAAAAAGCCTCTTGATGAGGGTGAAAAAGAGAGTGTAAAAGTTGCTTGAAGCCTAACATCAAAAACAAAACAAACAAAAAAAACAACCCTAAGATTATGGCAACTAGTCCCATCACTTCCTGGCAAATAAAGGGAGAAGAAATGGAAACTGTGTGTCGGATTTTATATTCTTGGGCTCAAGGATCACTACGGATGGTGACTGCAGCCATGAAATTAAAAGACACTCCTTGGAAGGAAAGCTATGGCAAATCTGGACAGAGTACTAAAAAGCAGAGACACCCCTGCTGACAAAGGTCTGTATGGTCAAAGCTATGGTTTTTCCAGTAGCAATATTTGCTTGTGAAAGTTGGACTATAAGGAAAGGTGACTGCCTCAGAATCATTGCTTTTGAATTGTGGCATTGAAGAAAGCTTTTGAGAGTCCCTTGGACAGCAAGGAGATCAAACCAGTCAATATTTACTGAAATTAATTCAGACTGTTTGCTGGAAGGTCAAATACTGAAACTGAAGCTTAAATATTTTGGCCACATAGTGAGAAGACAGGACTTGTCTGAAAAGACTCTGATTGGGGCAGGTAGGTGGTGCAGTGGATAGAGCACCGGCCCTGAAGTCAAGAGGACCTGAGTTCAAATCTGGCCTCAGACCAACCACTTGACACTTACTAGCTGTGTGACCCTGGGCAAGTCACTAAAAAAAAAGTGTGGAAAAGACCCTAATGTTGGGAAAGATTGAAGGCAAAAGTAAAAGGGGGTAGTAGAGGATGAGATGGATAGATAGTGTCATGGAAACAACAAACATGAGCTTGGACAAACTTAGGGAGATAGTGAAGAATACAAGGACTTGGTCTGCTGTGGTCCATGGGGTTGCAAATAGTTGACCAGGACTGAAGAACAAGAACAGATACCATGTGAGAGGCAGCCTAGCAGAGTAGATGAGAGAGCTGACCTTAAAGCCAAGAAGACCTGGGTTCAAGTCCTACCTTTGACACATGCTGGCCATGAGACTCTGGGCAAGTACCTTAACTGCTCAGTGCCTCGAGTGACTCTTAGTCTTAGGGGCCAGTAAAAGGATGTTCTGTACTTGGAGCTCCCCACAATGATAAATCACAAGTCCAGACCAAACATTATTATTTAGTACCTCCGATCCCCTCCAGGCTCTTTTTTTCCCCCCACACTATCTAGTATTCTGACCAGGTAATAAGCAAAGTCCCAGTTTATTGATAGGAATATGGAGAAATTAAATTATTTGCCCAGACACTGTGGCATGGACAAAACCTAGAATTTGGATCCTTACAATTTCCTCCATATTATCTTTACACCACCATCTCTTTACTCCCTTTTTTTAAACCATAAATTATAGAATATAAGCCACTTAAAAATGAATAGAATGGAAAATCTGTAATGATTCTGTATTTTTGTCTTTTTTTTTTTTAGGTGACCGGTATCTTGCCATGCTTGCTTGATGGAGATTGTTTTATTAGATCCAATTCTTCATCACCAGAACTTGGAATATTATTTGAAGTTGGAGTCTCTTATGTTCGTAATGTAAGGTCATAGAAAGAGTTTTGCTTTTCTAAGTATCATTTTACATTGATTTTCAAAAAGTTATTCCTGCTTTTGGAAATGAACAAGAATTTACCCACAAGTGTTGTTATAATTTCTCAAAGGACCAGCAGTGTGAGGCTTACCAGGATTTGCGTGGTTCCTAGAAATCCTAAAGATTGTAGAAACCCAAGATGACTGCAACTCTATGTGTTTTTTGGAAGTGGATGGTGGTGATATTTTAGGTATATATACCTACAAAAATAGATACATATACTTAAATATTTCATTAAAAACTTGCCAATAAACATCAACATAAACAACTATATCTAATAATTATAGTGCTTTTTGAGTCCCTCCTTCCTTCACTATTTCCACTATATCACACTAACTCTTGAACAGATAGATACAGGAGCCATGACAGTAATGCATATCAAATTATATTGTCTTCTTGACTTGATTAGTTATAGTATTTCTCTTTGGTCTCATGCTGGCCCAGAAACCCAGTGATTACATGTCACTTTATTTTCTTTTGAAAAATATTTTAGAATTTGTATGTGTATTTGTGTTTCCAGCCCCCAAAAAATCTTTGTTCAGAGATATTCAGATGTCAAGATTTATATATTTGTTTTACTTTTGTAGTCAACTGGTGAAAAAGGAGAGTTAAGTTGTGGCTGGGTCTTCCTAAAACTTTTTGATGCCAGTGGAATACCTGTTCCTCCCAAGTAAGTCATTTTCAATTTCCTTGCAGATAATTTCTCTCATATAATGGATAGCAAGGTACCACATGAAAACAGGCACTGGGTAAATTTTTTTATGGTGATGTTGTTATACCTTTTTTTGTTAAGAAGATGTTGTCACGTGACCAACAAAATGAAGAACTAGAGACTGCCTGGAATTTTCTCCCTGTATTTTTCAAAATGTCGTGAGTGCATTAATTATTCCTTTCTATAGAACCTACGAACTTTACTTGAATGGTGGTACTCCTTATGAAAAAGGCGTTGAAGTGGATCCTTCAGTTTCCAGACGAGGTATACTTTTATATATAAACTCTTTTTCTTAAGGATTTAAGAAAGATAAGGTATGTAAGAAACAGTAACCATTTTCTGAGTACAGAATAATATACCATAGACATACTTTTCCTATACAAACTATCACTTAAATTGAGCATTAGGAGGTACCAGATTTCCTGTTAAAGCCCATCTTCTTCTCTAAGAGCAAATTTTCCTGGTAGCAAATATGAGGATTAATGTGGGAGCCAAGAAGAGCAGAGGCAGATGATCCCCCTGTTTAATGTGACGAGGCTGCAAGTTCTCTTCCTACATCCCAAGTTTGTTATCCCTCCTTCCTGTCTGCTTCCAATTCTAGGATTTTTCCATTGATTCCAATTCTAGGATTTCCAAACCTATTGGAGGAAGCTGGGGTCTGCGTTACAGTGAATGTTTCCCCAGAGTTAATACCACAATTGCTTTCTGTTATAACAGTCTTAGAAACTCTAGATGAGGCTGATGCTTTCAGTTATCTCACCAGACATGGTGGAATTTTACAGTATAGACTACATATTGATGATACTTGGCATCACTCTTTTGTCCACTCCTTTACTTGTGATGTAAATGACTAACATTTTGTGTAATTTGCCTTTTCTAATTGATAAGTTTGTTTAAAGTCTTTTTGCTCCAAAACACCATCCAAAATGTCAGGAGTTCTCAAATGTACTTCTAATTTATTTTTTAAGCAGCCAGCAGTGTTTTTCATCAGATGATGACAATGAGGAGACAGCCTCAACTTCTGGTCAAACTGAGATCTCTAAATAGAAGATCAAGAAGCCTACTGAGGTTGGTACCTGTTTTTCCATGTGCGCTCAGTACCGGGTCATTCAGAAGTTGATTAGCCAGTCTGGATTATCTGTGCCTTTGTGTCACTTGTTTGTTGCCTCATGGCAACTTTAATGCTCATTATCACTTATATAAAGGGTTATCAGGGAAATTTAAGAGGCAGTAATGTACAAATCGGTCTAGTTTTCCTTCTTATAATTCAGATGAAAAACTTGGCTTAAAGAGGATGGAGGCACTTTGGTTGAAATAGGGTTTATGGCGTCAATTATCTATGATTTTATCATTTCCTCATTTCCCATTGAGAGTTGGATATTTTATAGTGGAACTTTTTCTGTTGTATATATTAAGAGCTACTGCCAAAAAATAATACCAGCCCAAAATCCTACCAAATGCTATTTTAGCATGTCTTTCTAACTTTAAAACTGCACAGTGTTGCTTGCATGTCATGGATGGAGGAGATGAATCAGAAGTAGAGGATTTGGCTTACTCAGTGTTCAGAAGACCTGAATGATGAAGATGCTCATTTTTCTTCTACTAGACCAGTAATCAGCAGCCTGTGCTTCGGTGACTTTTTGAATGTGATTGCAATTTCTTTCCAGAATAGTTAAACCACTTCACAGCTCCCTGTTCTCCCTGCCCATCCAATAATTATGATTTTTTGCAGATTAACCTGAAGGTGGTTGCTGTCACCTTGAGACTATGAGTGGGTGATCCAATGGAAACCTGACCCTTCACCCCTAAGAGTTTGTCCGCTCTAGATCTATCTAGGCCAGTGCCCTTAGTGTACATTCCTCTTCTCTATGTGCCATGTATATAATTATTTCAGTACTGTAGTTTCAAAACTCTATAGAAGAAGTAAGAGTCTAGTAGACTCATTTGTTGAGCTGCTGGGGCAAATCATCCCCCAGTAGTCAGCCTTCTTGTGACGAGCCTCTCTGAACTGAGCTGGGCTAGTCCTTGGACAGTAGGCACATAGTCTTTCAACTGAATGGCACGTGTTGCTGGGCCTGTACCCAGAGCTTTCCCAGCTCGGTGAAGCTAGTAAACAAGCTTAGTGGGTAAGGGCCTTGTGCTGGTGAAGCATGGATTCAGTTCCCTATAGAAGTCGTCTTCACACTGTTCCACAACCACAGCCCTTCTTATTGGCCATCAGCCTTGTACATGTCAGTCAGTGAACATTTATTAAGCACCTACTACATGGTAAATACTGTGCTAAATGCTGGCTTGAAAGGGAGCTCACCCACATGTAGGGATGGACCAGTGCAAATTCATTACCATTAATAGAGAAACAGCACAAAGAAATGCCCTACCAGTAGTGGATGACGGGACCTCATTTCCTGTTTATTGTTAATTAATTGTTACCATCTCCGTACTTTTGAGAGAAAAAAAAAATGTGAGAAATAGCAATGCCTCCATTTTAAGGGAAAAAGTGTAAATAAGTATTGCACATTTATATTTTTGATAAATGAGAGAAATAATTTTAAAGTGTGGTTATTTGGCTCAGAGTAATATTTTGGAACTTTAGTCAGGAGCCAATATTTTAAATATTCCCAAATACTCAAATTGTTATCAAATGTTCTTCCATTTGCTTTTTGTTACTTCACTTTCATTTTTATTTCTGTTTTCTGTTGTACAAACTCCCCCTAATTACAGGGCCTAGCATGGGAATATCCAATACCAATTACCAACAAAACAAGAGTAGCTTTATTTTATTAAAGCCTTTTGGATATTGCACTAAGGCTGCATTTGTAAGAGTAAGGTTGTGAATCTAGTGTTGGAGATTGATGTTGGTCTATCTAACTATAGTTCCATTTTAACTTTAGGAGTAAGGAGCTTCCTAGTGGTCCCTGGACAGGGAAAACCAGGTGATCCCTATATTAGACAAATAGCTCCCTAAGACAAGGTTGTAGTTTATTTCATATTCATTCAACGGAATGGCTGCATCTGTCCCTAACCTCTAACTAAGAAAGGGTGTTGATTAAAGTTAGGACCCTTTATTTAACCACTCACAATTTTACTTAACACCAAGGCTTCCTCTTCCTCAATGCTGGTGGTGGTTATTCTGTGTACAATATCACGCACTGTATGTTTCAGGATAGTCTGCACTGTTGTACACAATTACCTGTATAAAGTTAGATTTTCACTGTCTCTTATATTTATGAACGCATCAGGCTGACCAGTTGTAATGTACCCAAAGAGCTGGCACTTTACAACTATCCTTTTTATTTGACATTTAACTCGGGACTTGTGAGTATATACTAAGAAGCAAATATAAAAGCAAGTGTAGAGGCATGTAGTTGGCACTTACACATGTATTTAGAGGAATATAAAATTATTTGGAAAGTTTTCTCTGTGATTAGCCAGTTGCATGATGGGACATTCCTTTAAGTCATTGTTATAATTGCTGCATGATGAAGCAGCAAATGTAAGCTAATTATAAAGACTTTGAGCCGAATTGTATTTTTTTAATGAATCTTTTTTCATATTTAATAGTCTACTACCAGAAACATTAATAGGAAGTATGTGCTACGTTCATCTGCTGGTATTCTATCGAGAAATTCTTGGTGACGTGCTCCTGAAAGACAGGCTAAGCATGCAAAATGCTGGTAAGGCTTTTTTCCCCGTGCTTTTGGTTTCAGCTCTATTAGCAGATGCTTTCCTTGGGAGTAGTTGTTCTCTGCCTCTGTAAGTTTAGAACTGTCACGGTCGGCTGGCTCTCTCATTCTGCCAGGTAAAGGCGGGGCCTTAAGTTATTCTGCCTCAGAAAAGCGCCTGTCAGCAGAGCTTAGTGGTTGACACCTGGCCATTTACCTGACAGTAGGTCATTATAGGACCCATCAGATGGTGCTGTCCATTGCTCACAATTGTCAGTGCACTCTGTCTCTCTCAGTTCTCTGAGACTGTCCGTTGTACCACCATTTAATCTTGATTTTTGCTCACAATGTAATGCTCTCACAAGACTTCAGGACCTGAAGATTTCTCCCTCTGCTTTGTAGGTTGCCTACCCCTCTTACCTTTGTTTGAGTTTTTGTTTGTTTTACATGTAAAATTATTGGTGGGAACTCAATCTTCTACTTCATATAATACACTATGCTTTAAAAAAAAGAAAGAAACTATAATTTAAAGAAAGCATCCAAAGTGGAATATGTGTGGCAACAGTATTTATCTCAGTGATAAGTCTGTGTGTTATTGGAATTTTTTTTTAATGTCAGCTGTGTTCAGAATATGTACAAGAGTACATAAGTAGATGTGCCCTCGGTGGAAATGCCTCCTCAATAAATAGGAAGAAGACAGGACACACACACACACACACACACACACACACACACACACACACACGCAGTGAGGTATTTTAAGGATGCAGTAACTGCAGGGAGAAGGCAGGCTGTTCAGTCATACGCTTTTGCATGGATTATGGATTAATGACAAGGAAAGCTTCATGGGTGAAGCGACTCTTTAGGGAAGTTAAAGATTGTTACGTTTTCCCAGGAGTAGGGAGAGGTTGTTTGAGCTTGTACACAGTTCTGCCCAATACATTTCTGTCCCTCAGGGCCCAAGACTGGTCAGTAACAGCCAGAGCACTTTGGTTTGTGCTTCTTTAGTGCACTTATCATGGAATATTGTTCAGCCCAGTTAATGTGTGTGTGTATCTTTTCCCTCTACTAAAGTGTAAGACAGGGGCGGCTCCCCCAGCACCATGCTCTGTGCAGGGCAGACGCTTGATGAGTGCCTGTCGCATGCATGAATGAGTACGTGAATGAGTGAATGAAAGGTCATTGTAGAACACTTTGCTGTCCTAGTGTGTGTAGAATTCTTGCATATTTAGTTCTTTGCATAGCCCCGTAATAACCTAGTCCATTCGATTCTGTCATGAAATAGCTCATTTTTACATTATTTTAAAAAGTAATTAATATATTATAGCAGGTCATTCAGATTGCCGGCTGTCAGTGAGCCTTTATGTTGCTAGATACCTGCAAATCCTTCTCACTAGCATTTGGGGTCTTTAATCAGTAATATTAATATAGCAGTTTTACTAATCCTGATTGATACTTGTACCAGCTCTTTTCATATAACACATCTAAGTAGCAATACGTTTTTAAAAAATATTATTGTAATAAAATATATTTCAATGAGTGAAAGTCCCATGAAATCATTTTCTTTTCTTTCCCACTTTAGATTTAATTAGTAGTCCAATTCTAGCTACCTTTCCTAAACTCATGGAGCAACCTGACCTGATGGATGTACTTAGGGTATGTGATGTGCTTCGTGATCTTAAATTGCTATACCTGTTGTTAATTATTTTAAATAGATACTTTATTTTCTCATTTAATGTTTGTTTTTCCTTATTGTGCAGTTGGCTATTTTTTATTATTTCTTTATCAAATTGTCATTATGATGTAAGACTTTAGTGAATACAATAAGGATGCAACTACTGGAGGAGATGTTAGGGGAGAGTTAGAAGATGGAAAGATAGATAGACAGACAGACACCAGACCTGTGATTTCATTGGCATAGGAAACTCCACCAATGCAGGTCAGCAACTTCTCTGCAGCTTACAGTCTTAGACATCAAGGGGTTAAATGCTTTGCCAAGGGCCCATAGCCAGTATATGTCCAAGGCAGGATTTGAACTGTTTGTCTTGGCTCCAAATCCATCTCTCCCTCCTCTGTTTCATGCTGCCATACACATGCATACATATGTGTATGCACGTATGTGCACATACATGCCTTCATCCATGCACAGTGGGTCAGGAGCCTCATCTAGCACTGAAAGAAGGGATTCCATAGACATTTCCCTGATTTTTCTGGATGTGAGTTCTCCTCTGGCTGATGAGGTCTCTCTGGCCTCTTCTGTATAATTTTCTTGTCTATAAATTGAAGGTAATAGACTAGATAATCTCTAAGGTCTCTTCCAGCTGCAAACTCTACTTGACCTGAGGAGTACATAGACTTACACAGGCATGAACACATTCACTTTCAAATGATTAGGTGAAAGAAGTAGCCCATTATCTGAATCTATACTTCTTTAATACCTTAAGAATCTGGCATGCGATTAACGTGGGCACTCTCTCAACTGATACAGACTTCAGGTAAACATATATACATATCATATATATATATATACACGCACACACAAATATATGGAATTCTTCCTGCCAGTACAGGGCTTTGTGTTTATACATATATACATACATACACATGCATATGTATACACACAAACATGTGATACACAAAACATATAGATGCCTTTCAGTGGGGAGCACTGCATACTCAAGAAAAAGTTGAAAATTTAACAATGACTTTAATTGTCCCTCTTCTGGAAAACTTACAGTAATGCATATGCTAATGGAACATTCCTCCAACTATATAGTATTCAAGTTAGTAAAAAATTATAATCATAATAATTGTAACATATACCATTTTATGTCTAAAAGTATTTTAGACCCATTATTTCACTGATGTCCACAGCAGCCCTGGTAGGTATGTAGCGTGCCTCCTCATTTTACAGATGACAATATTGGGGCATGGAGAGATTAGGCAACTTATTCTTGTTCACATAGGTAATAAGTGCCAGAGCTAAAATTCAAACCCATTTTTATGGACTACAAGTTTGGTTCTCTTTTCAGTATGTAATGCTGCTCACCTGCAGTAAAATATTATTTTCCCATTTCATAGACCACATTCTTTATAGTGACAATTTGCTAAGTAATCTGTAAAAAACATAAATGCCCCCCCCAAATGATAATAACAGTAATAACACCTAACATTTATATCATGCTTTAAGGTTTGCAAAATGCTTTACTTAGCTTAGCATTCAGTCTGGGGCGAGGGGTATCTGGCCATCCAGGCCTTCTCCTTGCTGGTAGTCCATCTTGTCTCCCAGCCAGACCGAGTGATTCATCCATCCTGCATACCAGGTGATAATCAAATCAACTCAGAGCTAGAGGGAAGGGTGGTTGACAGAGTCAGAGGCTGCAGAAAGATCAAGAAGGATGAGGCCTGAGAAGAGGCTGTTAGATTTGGCAGTTAAGAGATCACTGGTAACTTTGGAGGAGAGAGCAGTTTCATTTGGGTGGTAAGAATGGAAGCCAGATTGTAGAGGGTTTAGAAGAATAAGAAGAAAAAAATGGAAGAATAGTTAGTTTTATCAAGGAATGGCTAAGAAAGGGAAGAGAAATATAGGCTGATATCTAGCAGGAATGGTGGGTCTAGTGAGGGCTTTGTTTTGTTTTTAAGACAATGAAGATTTACTTGAGCATGTGGGTAAGAAGTAGGGAAGGAACTGATAGAGAGGAAGGAAGTGAAGATGGTGGGGGGAGTGAAAAGGGGAGGAAAGAAATTATTGGGGAGGAATGTCCTTGAGAAAACAGGAGGGATGGCATCAAGGTTACATGTAAAAGGGTTGGCCTTAACAAAGAGAAGGGGAAAGAGGGACATATTTGTAAAGCTTACTGGAGCCAGGTCATGTATGAGGCAAGTATGTACAGGCATGGTTTGACTCATAGGTAGCTCCCTTCAGGATTTTGTCTGGCCCCAGATTTTGTTTGTGGTTTGTTGCCAACACTGCCCCACCTCCCATATAAAATGGACATGTTATAATAATTAGATTGTATCTCATTTTTACTTCACCCCAGTGGGATTTTGGAAGCCATCTTAAACCTCTGAGAATTTAGGGAATATTTTGGTCTACTTCTAATTTCTGCCTACAGTCTCTACCCACTCCAGTCAGTCCTGTATTCGGCTACCAAAGTGATCTTCCTAAGGCACAGATCTGATCATGTCACCTTCCCCACCTCAATAAACCCCCGTGGCTCCCTATTACCTCCAGGAACAAATATAAAGGGCTCTCTTTGACTTCTAAAGCTCTTCATAAGCGGGCCTCTCCCTGCCTTCCCAGTCTTCTTAAACGTGGCTCTCTCCACTATCTCCTGGACTCCTTACTATTTCTCTTCAACAGCTCTGCATCTCTCATCTCTCCCTCTTGGCACTGACCGTCTCTCCCCTCTGCTTGGAACACTTTCCTCACCTGTCTCAGCGTGAACCCCACCTTCGCAGGAAACCTTTTCCAGTCCCCATCGCTCCATTTCCTCCACACTGCTAAGGCCTTCCCATCAATGTTTGTTCAGCCAGTCTCTCTATATCTTGTGTGCGCAGTTATTTACGTGTCATCTCGGCCAAAAATTATGAGCTCCTTGACTCTCTCTGTAACCCCAGGCCTAAGCACAGTGCCTAGCACATAGTAGGCACTTAATAAATGCTTGTTGACCGACTGACTGATTGACTGACTGGCTGACTGGTTTTGGGGGCTACCCTAGTCCCTTGATGAGATTTGGGATGTTTTCATCAGCAGCTCATTAGCTGTCTCTTAAGGTGGATTTTTTTCTCCAGTTGGTTTAACTCATCTATTTTATGTTGATTCTTCATAGCTTTAGTTTCAAAGGGTGACATTTTCTGACCTCCTCCTCAGACTGATGGGGCACCAGTCCTGACCTGGACACTCTTATTCACAGACTATATTTGCGTGTGTCTAAATACTCAGACTAATATAAATGTCTTTATTTAATTTTTAGACTGCATGGGCTGAAAAAGAAAGTACTTTCAAAAGATCTGAAAAGGTAATTTTTTTTCCCCTGATAAAACTTAGCTATTTTTGCTTTGTCAGGCTAAAATAGATGTGGCCCTGGCATGTCCTAACAAAATAAAGTTATATTTTATATGACTACAAATCATACAAATAAACATCTTAGAAGGATGTGGGCTTTCCATTCTTGATGTAGGAATTCCTTTTTTCCCAATGAAACATTTAATAAAAATGTTCATTTCAAATCTGCTTCACTATCTTAAAAGGAAATTTCCAATCTAGACCTTCTGATTGGCTGCCAGATTCAGTCTTATCTTTAAAAACCTTCCAACTGTGAGTACAAAAACAATAGGGAAGGGGAAAGAAAAGAACAGAAACTCGGCTAAACTGAACTTATTGAAAAGTGCTTGGCTCAGAGTGGTGAAGTCATTGCCATGTTGAAAAAAAAACGGTATTTTTTTAATGACTGAAGGCCTGTCCACACAGTCTCCCAATAGAAGGCTGAACTACAGAAAATTTAGGGAACAAGAAGCCAAGTTTTGTTTTGTTTTATTTAAAAATACAAATATTGTATTCGTATCATATTGGCCTGTATTAATTGTAACCTGTATTAATTATGCACACCCTGTACATGGCTTATGCTGGAATTGGCAGATTTAGTATATTTATAATTCTTCATTGGTCATAATGCTATGCTCTAGGCCAGGCCTGTCCACAAGAGGTCTATGTAACAGTGTCCAGTTATGAGGCTGCCATGCTCAAGAGATCTTCCATCAACTTGAATTCCCATCTAAGTCACTCCTTTGGCAAAACATATTCAGTATTTCAGTACTTAAAAAAACACCTGTGATTTTGTTTGGGTGGAAACAGCCTGGGTCTTTATATTTTAATAGCTAATCTTCATAAGTTGTAGTGACCCTTAAAACTTCACCGTCCTTCTGGTGATGAGCTTTACCAAATTTGTCTAGGCTCCCCCTTGGATGGCAGATGCTTTGTCTGCCACTGGGCCCAGGTGTGGAGCCTTTCAAGTCTACGAAGATCTGCCATAGCTTGTGTTCTCCCAATATAGTCTCCACTAACCAAGGGTCACATCTGCACCATAGGAGGCATTGAAATTGGGCATCAGTGGAAGAAGAGATTCAATGTTCCTGTTAAAGGGTTAGCAGGTTTCTAATCTGGAGGGGCAACATATTAAACTGTTCCTATCCATTAACATAATTTAACAGTAATTTGTTTAATTAGCACAATCAGGTAGAGGATAAAAGCAGGGATCTCAACTCTGCCTTGAGGTTCAGTTTGCATCCTTCTGTTATTTAACTCTCTGGGCTTTCGATAATCATATTAACACATCTTTTTGAAAAGAAACTTAGAGTTCAAATCCGGCCTCAGACCAACCACTTGACACTTACTAGGCACTTACTGACCCTGGGCAAGTCACTTAACCCCAATTGCCAAAAAAAAAAAACTTAGACCAAGAGTTATTAATTTTGTGTGTGTCGTGGACCCCTTCAGTAGTCTGGTGAAGCTTGTGGACCTCTTCTTAGAATAATGTTTTTAAATGCACAAAATAAAATATATAGGATTGCAAAGGAAACTAGGTTGAAATATAGTTATCAAAATATTTTAAAAACCAAGTTCACAATCCCTTCTTACTTAGTAGTTGTACAAATATATGACTTCTTTAAGCTTGAAATATAAAACTTAAGCTTCAAAGCCATAGTCCAAAGCAGTCAAACTCATATAGAGTTGGGGGTCACTAAACCATACATAAGGATCCCTGTGAGCCTCACACTGACTTAGTTTTAAAATGTAATATTGTCTGTTTTATTATATTTTTATTTATTCTGTAAAATATTTCTCAATTACACTTTAATCTGATTTGGGCCGTACTTGGGAGTATGGTAGGTCTCATGCGCCCATGGGCCAGGTGTTTGACACATCTGGTCTAAAGCATGTAACGCCAGGAAGGACAGGACAGACATAGTGGAAAACTCTTGGCATCCAAGGGGCAGCCTAAGTATCTAACAAAGTCTGCATGTTCTTAATAATTTCTTAAATAATTATTTTTGTGTGTGTGTGTGTGTTTCCCCAGAGAGATGAAGAGTTTCTGAAGTCCATGTTTATCCTTGTGTACCATGATTGTGTGTATCCGCTCTTACATTCCACCCTCCTCCCACCATTCAGATGGGCAGAAGAAGAAACTGAAGCTGCTCGATGGAAATTCACTTCTGACTTCCTCAAGCGAAACCAAGAGAACTCTGGTGCTCTCCATGCCTTACTGTCACCAGAAGGTGTTCATGAACCTTTTGACATTTCCGAGCAGGCCTATGACTTCTTAGGAGAAGCTCGGAAGAATGTGAATTAAGTGTGATTGGTCATTGAGATTCCAGTCCAGTGGGTACTGTCTGTAAGAATAAATGTAAACTCTAAGCATCATTTGAGCAGAATGATAGGAACCAAATGGTTTGTGTCCATTGTGGACTGTATTTCTACTTTTCTAATTTAGTGTATTTTTTTTACTTTACCAATTTACTGTATTTTTAAAAATATATACAAGAGTATATTTTGTAAGAAATAATTGTTCAAATGTGTTTTAAAATGACAATTTTTAAAATAGGAAATATTATGATTTCTCAAAGTAAATTAAAAGCTGTTTCTACCCAGTGATACTACTACTAGGCCCATGCCTCAAAGAAATCAAAGAGGAAAAGGACCCATAAAATATTTATAGGGGCTTATTTTTAGTGGCAAAGAAGTACAGATTGAGAGGGTACCCATCATTTTAAGAATGGCTGAATAAGTTATGGTGAACGAATGTAATGGAATATTCTTGTATGTAAGAAATAACCAAAGAGTAGTTTCAGAGAAGCCTGGGAATTGATGAGTGGAGTGAGTAGAACCAGGAGAGCCATTTATAAAATGACAATAACATTGTAAAGGCAAACAACTTTGAAAGACTTAGGCACGTTGATCAGTGCAGTAACCAACCCACAGTTCCAGAGGACCCATAATCAAACATGCTAACCCTCCTCCTCACAGAGAGGCGACAGATTCTAGATGTGGGACGAGACATGCAGTTGTAGACATGGCAAATGTAAAAATTTGTTTTATTTGAGTATGCACTTGTGTTCCAAGGGTTTTGTTTTCATTTATTTACTTTTCAAAGGATAGCAGGAGGCAGTTAGTAACAGGGTTCAAAGAGAAAGGAGAGTTAACAGCAGGGTTGATTTTTTTAAAAGAAGTCATTGAAGTATTTTTTTAAATACTTAAGAGAGCAGAAGGAAAGCCAGAAGGCAGCATGGACAAGCAGGAAAGCTACCTGTTTCAGTTTATTATGTATTTATTAAGTAAGGCAAGCTGGGGCAGCTAGGTGATGCAGTGAATAGAGCACTGGCCCTGGAGTCAGGAGGACCTGAGTTCAAATGTGATCTCAGACAAGACATTTGACACTTACTAGCTGTGTGACCCTGGTCAAGTCATCTAACCCCAATTGCCTTGCCAAAAAAAAAAAGTAAAGCAAGCTGTACATAATAGAGATTTACGGTACAATCTACTATGTATATGGAAATGCTTATTTTACTTGAAATAAAAAGATAAAGTAATTTAAAGGAGATGTTCATAAAACTTGTTTCTTTAAAAGCAAAGTCACCGGGAAGAAATTATGTGAGGCATCAACCAACTGGTTGTCAAATACTCAAGTATTTGAATGTAACTCTTGCAAGTTATGTACAATAGCCTTGAAGGCGAGTCAGTGATTTTCCTTTACTTCCCACCTGACCCTCACTCCCACAAAAGGGCTGTGTAGCAAGCATATCGATACACCTACATTTAAATCACATGCAGATTTAAGTTTAAATGTAACTAATTTTTTCCAAGATTTTTTGAGAGTTTCATGACATCCCTTAGAAATGCCTGGCAGCAGGCAAGTTCCTGATTGCAAGCTTCTGCTTGATTATGAAGATGAATTCAGGTGGGCATAGGTAATTCTCAGTTATTCAGGGGTAAAGCATCCACGTGTTCTTGTTGACCATTCTGCTTTATTAACCCAATCCTGAATTTTCTTAATTGAGGGGTTTTTCGTTGGTTGGTTTGTTCCCATATACGTGGGGTGTCCCGGAAGACTTAATGAAGCTTTAAGCTAAAAGCACTGAGACTTTTCAAACAGCCCTGTGTTATCCTCACTATCCAACTGGACACAAAACACCTGGCTTTTACTGGGGGATAAATCAGGGATAGGAAGGAGAAAAGAAACACTGCTGGTTCCAATATAACTTTCAGAGATTTGAAGTTAATCTTAACTCTTTCAAGGAACAAATATCATCACTCTTTCTTGTCAGAGACTTTCCCACAATTACTAGTAAATTGACCCACATCTGTAAGTTCCAAAGTAAATTTCTAAAGCCTAAGTTATTCCTTGATGTAGGGAAGCCCTTCAGAGTTAGAATTGACTAGGAGGTTGCACATTCTGTTGAAATATCTCTCATTCCTAATTCTTAGTATTGATTCAAAGAAAACACGTCTATCTCCTAATATCCTCAAGGTTCTGGAGAACTGAACAGAGTTTTAAGAACAGGATAACATTTCACAGAATTTTGAGACAAGTATTGGAAAAGTTGTCACAGCCAACAGTTTCCAGATTTTGGGGAAGCCCATCTTAAAAAACCATGTTTAGAGGTTCATCGCATCAGGAGACTCTAACTTTAGTTGGCTTTTACCTATATCTGGCACTACCCTTAAGCTCTGGGGATTGGCATCAAGTTAAAAAAAAGGGTGGGGGGGGACCTTTGGCCTAGAAGGAATCCTTGACCATGAAAGCAATCTTCTGGCCTCTCTCTACAATCCCCTTTTAAAAAGTATCTCTTCCTGTCTACCACCTCATCTTAGAATCAAGTGTGGGAAACTCAGTCAGAAACACCATTCATCATCTTCCTCCTGATCTGCTACTGAGCTATTTTTCAAAGTAGTCCATGGTTCTTGCCAGTAAAGGAACCGTGTTCCTCTGTAACTTTTGAGAACTAACAATCCCAAAAATGAGGGTGGAGGTTTAAATAGTTGCAGAAAACGTATTGTTGAAGTCTTGGTCCTTGTCCTCAGGTCTTTTGCGGCTGGCCTGAATATTGTTCTATTTTTTTTTTGTCTTAGGTTTGCTGCTCCATTTGAAGGCGTCAACAACCTTGCTTTTTTTTTACCCTTTTCTGTCTAGAAAACAACTTTAGTGTGAGCATGTTTGTCACTAAGCTACTCTTAGCCTGGTCTTGTGAGACTGTCCCTCACATTGAAGTGAGGGAATCTGAAGGATGAAAAATGCTGTAAGTGAATTTTTTTTTTAAAAAAAGGGGAAGAGAAATAGGATCTTAAAAGTAGTTTAATAGGTTGTTTATGAAATATGATAGAGTAGTATAATAATTCATTCTTCAGAATTGCAAGAAGAGCTTCTTGTAGGGGCTGTCCCCACATATGGTTCCATTCATTAAGCTTATGATTTCTTAAGAGAAAAACACGGAAACATGAGTGAAAGCACTTAAACTCAAGCTAAAAAGTGGTGAAACAAAGGAAATTAGTGTAGATAGATTAGATTAATCATCAGTTCAGGTGTGTGGATCTGGCCATAGGCATCATAGCAATGTGAGACCTTGTGAGAGCACAGGTCTTCAGCCATATACATAATATCACACACACACACGCACACGCACACACACACACACACGCACACACACACACACTTTTTCATTGACTTAAAAGGCAAATTTCTAGCTGTCAAAACAGGAAAAGGTTGTCAAGGAGCCAGAAATATCCTGGAAAATTATTTTCCAGTGATAAGTCTCCAGGGATATTTACCAAAGTCCTCTGCAATCTGAGGCTCTCCTCTCTTTCCAGACTGATTTCCCATTACTGCCTTCACACGTTCTCTCAGGATTCAGTCAAACTGACCCACTTCCTGATCCCCAAACTTGGCATTCCATTTCTGCCTCTGTGCCTTCACTTGTAATGGACCTCTACCTGAACCTCCGCCTCCCAGAATCCTTAGCTTCCTTCAAAGCTCAGCTGAGGTGCCATTTCCTAAGCCCTTCCTGATACCCTCAGTTATAAATACTCTCCCCCTCCTCAAATTACTGTTGTGCGTACTCATCTGTGGACCAGAAAAGAAAGTTCTTTGCATCCAAAGTCCTTGGCCCTCTCTCAAATGGTTCAAATTCAGAAATGGATATGACAACAGAAATGACACTGATGACGTTGTCACCAGCCTTATCACTGCACTCTGAGGACCACCGGGCCTTTTTATCACACCTGCAGGTGAAACATCTTATACATGTTGTCTCTCACTATTCCAACTCTTGAGAGCAACTATATCATGCTTTTCTATCTGTATCTCCAGCACTTAGCATAGTGCTTACAGCAAAACTTAATACGTGTATTTTCATTCATTCATTCATACCATTTTATGCTCACCATACAATATCAGCTTTTTGAGGACAGGGGACTGTCCTTTTTTTTTTAATCCCCTGTACCTAGCATGGTGAACACAACAGGCATTTAATAAATGTATGTGGATGGAATGGAATGAATAAATAAAAATAACACAAATTGAAAGGCAGCGTGTATAGTGAAAAAGGGCCGGCCTGCAGCAGGGAAGACCTGGTTTCTGACATGTTCTAGCTGTCTGACTCTGAGGAAGTTACTCCTCCTGTCAGTCCCCCTGGTGATTCTAAGACTTTTAGGAACAGAGTAAAGCACTAATCTGCACTATAAGGCTGATGTGCTGGACAACGAATTATCATTTTGATCAAATAGGCAAAAGAGCTAGAAGATGTCCTCTGCCTGCTAAGGAGTTTGTCATTGGCTCGTTTATTTAGAGCTGGAAGGAGCTTTAGAGGGTATCAGCTCCAGTCTCCATAGGTCACAGCTGAGAAAGCCAAAGCCCCATGTGGGAAAAGACTTGCCAGAATTCCCAGGAAAGGCAAGTGTTTTCCTGAAGCACAAGTTTGACTGCGACATGTTCTCACTCAACATATCCCAGAGGCTCCCTGTCCCCTCTGGGATCACACGTGAAGTCCTCTGTTGGACATTCCAAGCCAACACTGCCATCACTCTGGTCCAGGCCTTCGTCACCTCATGCTTTGATTACTGACTTTACCTAATGCTGGTGGGTCCACCTGCCTCAAGTTTCTCCCCACTCCAGTTCATCCTCCAACAGTCACTAAAGTGATTTTCCTAAAATGCAGGTCCAATTGTCTCACATGCTCCCCCTCAATAAATGTCAGTGGCTCCCTATTACCTCCAGGAGCAAAGAGAAAATGCTCTGTTTGGCATTCAAAGTCCTTCATAACCTAGCCCCCTCCTACCTTTCCAGTCTTCTTACACATTACTCCTCAACATGTATGCTTTGTTGTAGTGACATTGGCCTCCCAGCTACTCTACGAACAAGACTCCATCTCTTGGCTCTGGGCATTTTCTGATTGCCCCCCATACCTGGAACACTCTCTCTCCCCAACTCTGACTACCAACCTCCCTGGCTTCCTTTAAGTTCCAACTAAAATACTACCTTCTACAGAAAGTCTTCCCCAAGCCCTCTTAATTTCAATGCCTTCCCTCTTTTAATTATTTCCTAGTTATCCTGCACATAGCTCACTTTGTCTGTATTTGCTTGCATATCGTCCCCTGCCCTGTAAGAGTATAAGCTTCTTGAGGGCAGGGACTGTCTTTTGCCTTTTTTGTATCCCCAGTGCTTAGCACAGTGCCTGGTACACAGAAGGTGCTTACTAAATGCATTTAGATTGATGGATGTATAGACTGATTGAAGTAGCAGAGTTGATATTTGAACCCATATCTTCTGGCTCCA